CGCTGTGTGGCAAGGTGTTTTGCACAGAGTTTGCGGTTATTCCGCGGTCTACACATGACGTTATCTTGGGTATTGACTTCTTGTGTGAGTGTGGGGCAACTGTAGACTGCAGAAGTGGGCATCTTTCTATACACGGTACTTTCCCAACGGCGCTCTTGGAAAATTCCCGCCCGGAGGATTGCATCTTTTTCGTCTCTGCGGACACAGTCGTTCCTGCATTTTCTGCTGTGTGTGTTCCCGTGACATGTTCTAGCAACAACTGTGGCACGTTTGACGCCACGCTCGAACTGATTCCCTTGGCATGCCTGAAAAAGAACATTCTCATTCCCCATTGCATAGTGCCAGTCGTTGATGGACGGGCAGGTGTGTGGACAATGAACAGTTCCATAAAGCCTGCAATTCTGCCAGGCGGCATGAAACTTGCAGTATTTAGACCCGAATCATGTACGACGCTGGTTGCGCTTCTTGATGCTACAAGCCAAAATGAACATCTAGGCTTAGAAGGTTCAGAAGATGCCCAATTGCTACAAATGGTCAGCAAGTCACTTGACTAAAGCGAACGTCATACACTGCTTGACGTTCTATCCAAGCACTCGAAAGTGTTCGATTTTTCTAAAAATAGCCAAAGGCCCTTAATCCCAGCGTCCCGGATACGTCATCAGATCCACACCGAGTCGGCGCATCCCATTAGGCAGAAATCTTATCGAGTGGCACCATCGGAGCGCAAGATCATCAACGAGCAAGTCCAAGAAATGCTGGAAAAGGGAATAATACAGGAATCGGCAAGTCCGTGGGCTGCTCCTGTCATTCTAGTGAGGAAAAAGGATGGTACGTGGAGATTTTGCGTTGACTACCGCCAAATGAATTCTGTTACCAAGAAAGACGTTTATCCACTGCCGCGCATCGATGACGCTCTAGACTGCCTGCATTCCGCGTCCTACTTTTCATCTGTCGACCTGAGATCAGGTTACTGGGAAATTCCGATGCACGCAGTTGACAAAGAAAAGACGGCATTCGTTACGACCGACGGACTTTATGAGTTCAACGTTATGCCATTCGGATTATGCAATGCTCCTGCGACATTCGAAAGATTTATGGACTCTATATTGCGTGGTTTAAAATGGCATATATGCATGTGTTACCTTGATGATGTCGTAATTTTTGGACGTACGTTTGAGGAGCACAACACTCGCCCAGACCTCGTGCTAAGCTGCATTGAAAAAGCTGGCCTTGTATTGAATTCGAAAAAGTGCCACTTTGGCGAGCGACAAACATTGGTGTTAGGACAGCTCGTCGGCAAAGATGGCATTAGACCTGACCCACAAAAGACCGCGGCCGTTGAATCGTTCGAGCGTCCTAAATCTGTGAAACAACTGCGTAGCTTCATCGGGCTCTGCTCGTATTTCCGCCGGTTCGTACCCAAGTTTGCGGATGTGGTTCACCCCCTGACGAGCCTTCTACGCAAGAACAGCCTGTTTCAGTGGACCTCCGAGTGTGATGCCGCTTTTCACAAGCTGAAGTGTTTGTTAACTTCGCAGCCAATACTTCGGCACTTCAATCCTTCGTCGCCCACGGAAATTCACACAGATGCAAGTGGCATCGGTATCGGTGCCGTTTTCGTTCAGCATTCTGGCAAGAAGGAACACGTTGTGGCGTACGCAAGTCGTTCTTTAAGCAAGCCTGAACGCAACTACACAGTGACCGAACAGGAATGCCTAGCGGTAGTCTTTGCCGTGCAACGGTTTCGGTCATACATCTATGGTCGCCCGTTCACTATCGTCACAGATCACCATTCCCTGTGTTGGCTGATCAACCTTCGTGACCCATCCAGCCGCCTCGCACGATGGGCCATTCGTTTGCAAGAACATGTCTTCACCATCTCATACAAGACTGGCCGTCTACACGCTGATGCAGATTGCCTCTCCAGAATGCCGCTACCATCGACAGATTGTGAAGCCGATAACTTTGACCACCTTATCGCTTCTCTGTCGTCTGGCTTTCCTGATGCCGTGACTTTCGCCGCTGAGCAGCGTAATGACCCAAGCTTAAAAGCTCTCTTCCTTGGAGCGAGAAATTCATTAAGCGAAGGCCGATTCTGCGTCCGAAATGGCTTTCTTTACCAGAGAAACTTGTCCATGACGAGCGCCCGCTTTCTGCTGGTTGTTCCTGCGTCCCTCCAAACGCCTGTTCTGCGTCTCACGCATGATGACCCCACCTCTGGCCATCTAGGCACCGCACGAACACTTAGTCGCACGAAAGAGCGGTTCTATTGGCCGAAAATGAGCAAAACAATTCAGAACTACGTGGCCAGCTGTACGCAGTGCCAGAGCCACAAGCAGCCCTCCTCGGGTCCAGTTGGTCACCTGCAACCGGTAAAGCCTCCCGGTTCCCCTTTTGAAAATGTTGGCATTGATCTGATGGGACCATTTCTACGCTCCTCAAAAAAGTTACCGGTGGATAATTGTATGCGCCGACTACCTGACGCGGTACTGCGAGACGGCTGCCTTACGCTCTGCCACGGCAGTCCAGGTTTCGGAGTTCCTGTTGCATTCAGTCATCCTCCAACACGGACCTAATAATAAGTGACCGTGGACGACAATTTACCGCTGATATTGTCGAATCATTACTTCGTTTGTGTGCCTCCAAGTTCCGACACTCAACTGCGTATCATCCGCAAACTAACGGTCTCGCCGAGCGCACAAACTAAACGTTGATCAACATGTTGTCAATGTACGTCGCCTCTGACCACAAGAACTGGGATGAAGTATTACCATTCGTCACGTACGCCTTCAACACGTCGAAACACGAAACGACAGGCTATAGCCCTTTCTATCTGCTCTACGCTCACTCACCTCGACATACGCTGGACACTATCTTTCCTTTTGTCATCCATGACGATTTAACAATTGCGGAAACCTTGTGTCGTGCGGAAGAGACCCGTCGACTTGCCTGCTTACGTACACTGGCAGCACAAGAGTCATCCACGATGACTCTGCTTACGTACACTGGCAGCGCAAGAGTCATCCAAAACTCGCTACGACAGTCAACACAGGCATGTAACCTATGCCCCCGGTGATCTAGTGTGGGTGTGGACCCCAATACGCAGACGTGGCTTGAGCCAAAAGCTACTGGTACACTATGCCGGTCCTTTTGTGATACTCCGCCGTGTCAGCGAGGTCAAATATGAAATTGCACGTGTCACCACTAGTGGCCGACGTTCATGCAAGACGGAGGTGACGCATGTTGCCCGCCTGAAGCCGTTTACACGAAGGATGCAAGAATGACTCGCCCAGAGGGCTTCGTCTGAGAGAGGAGGAATGATACAAAGTATCACTACCAGGAAAAACAAGGGAAGCGTGGGCAGAGAAGGAAGACGACGTTGCCTCCACTGCGATCCCCCTGAGTGGGTACGAGCCATGGCGGTGATCATCATTATACGGTGATCGCGGACTCAGGGCCCATTAAAAACCCCCCCATTAAGTTACCTTAATTTGTGTAACAATATTTTGGGCTCTGTATCTTGCTGCGATATCTCGCCAGTTTTCCTCGAGCCACTTTTCTACGCTGTCCAGGTCCGCCACTCTGCTTTCACCTGTAACAGCTTTGCCAACAATGTCGTGCCGTTCTTTGAACCGCTGAAGCCAGCCTGAACCGCCTTGGAAATCATTTCTGCCAAGCAGAAAAGCAAGGTCCTTGGCTTTCTGCTCGATCATAGGGCCGGACACCGGGATGATCGAGGGAAAGCCAACTTGCCGGGGCACTTTTGAGGCACATGGTGTTTGATATATCAGTTGTCGTTGCTATTTTCATTCGATAAAACAGTAAATTTTGCTATATATCTTCAATGTAAACTTACCATGTTTAGGAATTGTTCGATATACGGGATAATTTGACATCAACGGGTTCGATATAGTCGGGCTCGACTGTAGTATATTTCACAAAGAAAAATGAGAACGTTTGTCATCATCGAACTAACCTGCACAATATTTTAAAAATTGAAGCAAGGAAATGCGATTCTTTTTGGTTAAAAAAAAGTGAAAATTTCAAATACCAGAATTAGACTTTTAGTAGAATGCAAGAAATAACCTACAGTTTACTATACTTGAGCATATAATCCTGTATAACAAGCTTTTAATTGTAAAAATAATGAATCAATGTGAGGGTAATATGTTCATTTAATCTTGAAATAGCGCTTTGAGGCAGTGCATATTTTTTCTGGATAGGAGTTTTCATGGCTCACCACCCCTCCACTGCAGTGAAACCACCTTTACAGAAGATTACATGCTGATCAATTTTGTTCATTTCGAATACTGCTACATTTTCACAGTGACTTCATCTTCAATAATTCGAATACTGTAGCTCAAATATGTGAATAAACCTAATATATACAGTAGACTCGTGATAATGCAAACAGTCACTCCATCATTCGGTCAAGTCGTACTTTTTGCGGTTTCATACCAGAAAAAACATGCTGCTTTCTTACTATATAAAAACTTGCGTGCTTATATATTCTCAACAATCTAAACATAAAAAATAAGTGCCTTAGGCCTTCAAGGAAAAAGGCTTTGCTAGTAAACAAATGTTTGAGACGAAACACACGCATGGTAAACCATGATGCTTCACAACTGGTATAGAGAGCTTTGTGCCGAAGGCACACATAGCAAAAAAGAAGTTGGCAATAGAGAAAGGTCTGATGAGCAGTAAATGGCTGATGAACTTCTGGCTTTTACACCTCTGCTTTCTGTTCATTGCATGCAGTTAGAGTTTATAAACTCTATAAATTTCTTTAAATATAATAAAGTAATGCCTAATCATACATAAAGTATGAAGTCGCCTCACCTTAAGTCATCTGATAATTCAAACGAGAGTCGACTGTATTTAAAGATCTTGGATCTACGATAAACCACTGGTCCTTGGCACATTAACATTAAAAGCTAACACAGAGAACTATAGACAAGACTCAAAACAATGACATTCAAGAGAGACGAGAGAGTGCATACTTCGTCTTCGGTGTAAGCGAGGATTCCCTTCCAGTGGTCGCTCTGCGAGGCAGCCTTCATGACAGCCTTGATCTCGTCGTAAGTGGCCTCCTTGGCCAGACGGCAGGTCAGGTCAACGACTGACACGTCGGGAGTTGGCACACGGAAGGCCATGCCAGTCAGCTTGCCGTTCAGTTCGGGAATCACCTTGCCCACGGCCTTGGCCGCTCCAGTCGAGGCCGGGATGATGTTCTGGGCGGCTCCACGGCCATCACGCCACGCCTGCGTGCATCCTCAGTTGAAAATTTAGAACTGCACAGTCCTGCTCGAAGCCATTCAAGTGCATGTGTGAAAAGCTGCTAGTGCCATGCACAGAAAACATTGCCAATACTAGCTGTACCACTCCCTGCCTTTACGCGAGGTCTCCTATTATTCTTCAACACTGATTGCACACGTCTGGAAAAACTTGTCATATTTGTCTGCTATTTAAGTGACAATTAATTGAAAGTTACAAGTCGCAATAAATATTACTTCAATGCACTTTCACAAGGAATGTGAAAATACAGCAATTATTTTGCAGAGGAGCACTGCAAAAACTACAATTTTAGTCATTTGAACTTCACAATGTAAATACCTGTATAAATGACCATTATGTCCATTTTGGCTGTCTTTAACTTTTTTTTATGACATTTTTTGACACATATGCGGCAGCACTACGTTTGGCATGCTGAGGATCATCCAAAATCAAGTGTTCTGCAGACAAATATGACGAAATTAACAAGAGCTTGATACCACTGTTTGTATCGGTTATTTTTTTTTAGTTAGTGAGCTTTTACATCATCTTGCAGTGCTATACAATATCGTGCTTTATTCACGAGTACAGTAGACTCATTAAACGAACCTGAAAAGACAAAAGGGACAAGGAAGGCATGTTTTATTTAAAAAAGTTTCGTTTACAGAGAGATGAACAGAGATGCAGAATACAAGTACACTTATACTTCGATATAAAAAACCCAGATATAATGAAATATCAGTTATAACAAAATATCGGTTATAACTAACTAAATGAATAGTTTTATAAAAACATTGCTAGGAATATACCTTTATAACGAATTTTCGGATATAAAGAAACGTATACTAAACCAATCTTATCAATTCCGTTAAACAGACAAATACATCGAGTCTACTGTACTTTTCTTTTCGCAATTTCAGCCTTAAAGGTATTTTTAGGCGCTTCTCGAAATAAAAGTGCCCACGTGGGTCAACAAGTACTCGCCTTGTGGCTCGGTCCATCCACAGTCTTCTGGGTGGCAGTGGTTGCATGAACGGTGGACATGAGGCCTTCAACTATGCCGAAGTTGTCGTGGATGACCTTGGCCAGCGGGGCCAGGCAGTTGGTGGTGCACGAAGCGTTGCTCACAATCTTCATGCTCGGGTTGTAGGTGGTGTGATTCACACCCATCACAAGCATGTGGGCATCCGGAGAGGGAGCAGAGATGACCACCTGTGACAAAGGGAGGACACCTTGGAACAAGCCCATGTCAGACCTTCTTTAGGCCACAGAGGAGCATTCGAGCCAAAGTGTGGGTGCGAGTGTGAAGCAAGTACAGTTGCGAGCAATATGAAAAGGAACACAGCTTTTGCTAAGGTAACGACTACTTGTGATGTGCATTAAAAATGTGCCATATTGGTATGCAAGATGCACAGGGCTGGTCAGAAGTTCCCCGGCTACTAGCCCACGTACAGTTGAACCCCTTTATAAAAGGCATGCTCCGGGCAACATTTCTTTTATACAAGATGTCTCCAATAAGCAGGGGACTTTGAATGCATTTCCCTATTATACCTTGTATTTTACTCTAGACACACTGGTGTTTTTATACTCTTTCGTCTCTTGTATCAGTCTCTTATAAAAGGGTTTAACCGTATTTCTATCGCAGCATTGCCTGGGAACACTTGTCCTTCCGAAGCTGTACCTTTCGAGTCCGCAGTGTGGGTGCGAGTGTGAAGCAAGTACAGTTGTGAGCAATATGAAAAGGAATAGAAAGTTTTCGCTAAGGTAATGACTACTTGTGATGTGCAATAAAAATGTATTGGTATGCAAGAGGTACCTTCGAGCCAAGTTTTGCAAGAACTTTTAATGTCTTGGTCACTGCAACTACCCAGAGTCCTACAAAATCAATGTCCACAGGCCTTTATCCCATTTCATGCCCTCCAAAATCGCCTCAAGCTCAGTAGCGAATTGCCGCACCCCTTGGCCCAGTGACTAAGACTCGTAGAAATCCACCATCTCCACACACAACATTTATCTTCATAGCCCCGTTTAATTCGTATTGATCTTAGCCGTGCAGTGCTTTCAGATACAAAGAGGAGAGTATTAGGACTAGCACTGAACAGGGAAGACAATCTCAAACTAAGGATCAAAACGGGACAAGCGTAACCATGACTGCAAGAATTGCTGTGGCCTTGTCCTGCAGTTTCTTCCGTTTTCCTTTATTATTGCTCTACAATAACGCTGATACATACAACACATCAATTATGAACTAATTATCCCTCACCAAGTGCAATTTGCAGTGCACGCCAATTACTCTGCATTGGTTGGCGTGTTGTGCCTTATAGGGAAGCTCCGTGACCAGCCACAGGCAATAGACTCACATGGTGGGCTCCACCTTCAATGTGCGCAGTAGCTTTCTCCACAGTGAGGAAGACGCCGGTGGACTCTACCACAAACTCGGCGCCGACCTTGCCCCAGGGAATGCTGGAGGGCTTCATCCTGCACACGCAACACAGACACGATCAGCCCCGACCCAGTTTTTGAAAAAGGCGAGAAAACCAACGATTTACCAGATCCTGTGGCAATTGAGACCTCTTAAAAGAATAGACTGGGCTACCAGAGATGTGCCACAACAACATTCGGTTTTGAGACTACATACAACTCCAAGCTTAGCACTAATGTGTTGAAATCAAAGTAACCATTTGTAGAAAACTCGTTTAGGCAGTCCACAAGCTACCAGAAAGAATTCTTTTTAAATGTGTTTGCAGACATTGAAGTCATGGCCACCAATGTGAATTGTACAGTGCTAGCTGGCAAACACTCGACAACTAGATTTACCCTCACTGCGCAATGTCGCACTGTGTCACAAAGCAGTCGCTAATAATTGAGAAAGGTAGAGTTAGGCAGTTTAAATTATGATGCCTCTAGATGAAACACTAGATGGAATTTGTAACTAAAGGAAGCATAAATGACGTACAGAAATGACCCCATACTCTGCAGACTGCCTTGAGACAACCAAGCTCCTTCAGGGAGGCACTGACCTCGTATACAAAACACGTGGCGAAGTGCTTTTGCCGCATGCCAGTTGGCTAGACCGCAATGCCGACAGCTATCGTAAGAGTAGTAAAACAGTATACACAACATAACAAACCGCAAAGAGAGTAAATCACCCAAGCTATCAAGCAGAGTCGTGCACCATTCACGACCCCAAGGTGTTAAATATAGAACGGCCTAAGAGGGGGACGCATGTTCCATCAAATAGCCTTGGAAGCAGAAGCCTGGCAGCGACTGCTTGCCGATTGTGGAAACAACAACACTACCAGCGTGGAAGGACTCCAACAATTCGGCCCCACGGTCACGTACTCCTAATGTGGACTGTGGCCAATTCCTTGAGAGCACGAACAGCTCTATTCTGTCAAGCCCCACACTCCAAATTGGACGCTTACAATGAACCAAGCCTTGGAAGAGAATTGCTTCCAGCAGTGCTAATACTTGAAAACCAGTTGAAATGCAGCTTTATCATGTGGTTTCAGCCCGAGCGTGTAAAGTATGTATGTGTAAAGTATGTGAGCAATACGAAAGGTAGCACAAAAGTTTCTATAAGGCAATGATTACTTGCGATGTGCAATACGAATCTGATTTATTGGTATGCAAGGGGCGGCATGTTTCTGCATTTAGTGCCTACAGCTTTTTTTGAAGGCAGCATCAGGGTCTGCTTTCATAATGCTCACCACTGCAGAAGTGTGCCCCCTTCGAGCACAGTTTGCTCTCGTAGAAATTCTCACTATTTATGCAGTAACTAACTACAGATTAGCGATAAAATAGCTAACGCTAGCTGAACTGTGAACAAATAAAGTAGCAAAGTTACCTATGGGAGATACAAGATGACTAACATATTAATCAGGGGAAGCACGTACGCATGACGAAACAGCTTTATAGTTAACATCAGCCAGTCTCATAAATGAAAAACGAGATCTATAGAGTCCATGTCATACCTACAGAGTGCGAATTTCCGCTCACATGAACATTCTACTTAGCTTGATTAGCAATGCTGTTGCACACAGGCAGTAGCTACACATTTCAACTCTACATCGAATTAAGAAAAAACAAACAAGTCGTGGTCTCCTAGATTGAAACTACCCATTCTCAATTCCGAAAAAATAGAGATGCCGAAAAAGTAAGAGCCTAGCTAAGTTGACACGTCGGCACTTTGAATCGGGGCGAAACAAAGACAGAGACTCACTCTTGGAAAACATGGATTTTGTGGCCGTTCACAACCAGCATGCCTCCCTCCTCGTGAACATCTCCGTGGTAGCGTCCATGAGTGGAATCGTACTTGAACATGTAGACCTGCATTTCAGAACAGCACCAGCACCTACTGGAGACTGCCAAGTGCAAATGTTGTTGTTTTTTTTAAAAGTAAAGCGACTAGTTAAGGTGGCAATTAAATGCCAACTAAGATGTATGCAAAACTGCTACAGTCGCAATTACGTGCTGAATTTCGCTAAACTTACCATGTACTTGACATCACAGAAAGGATCGTTGATAGCCACGACATCAACGCCCTTGGCAAGGGCGGCACGCAGCACAAGGCGGCCAATGCGGCCGAAGCTGTTGAAATAGAAAAACGACCAGTCCAGTCCACACACTACTGTTAAAACCGTACACTATGTAGAAATAGAACATTTAAAAAGACCCCATAGTAACTATTAAGTCGACGATTATTGAAATGGCAGTCCAGAAACCCCAGTGCTACTTTTGTGCCAAAGAAGGGCCTATTTTGAAATAAGATCACATTTTAATGGTCCGCATCAGGTTAGTGCACTTCAAATTACTCGCCTTAAGAAGTGGACTGATCCGACCGACTCGCATCACTGTTGCCGTGCACAACGTTGCTCGGCTTTACTGTGCTACTAGCAACAGACCGAAAGCAGCAGGAGTCACAGCAACAACGGCCATTGACCAATTTCCCTACACTGGCTCATAGATTGCAGACGCTTTTGTTTCAACTGCACCCCGCTAGATGACACCCCCTGTCCTGTGTAACTACGCGAAAATTAAATTTTTGAACCACTCGCAATTTTCCATTGTAACGTTCGGTGGTTCTTTTTCCATGAACCAAACAGAAACGAACAAGCAGCATTTTATTGAGTCTCTCGATGCATGGAAGGTTTAGTGCAGTTAGATCAATATTAGTGGTTAATTGTAGGCGGTCGATCTGATGTCATCGGGAACATTTTGAAAATGTCCTACTGCGGCGCTTGTGTTCTTATGCATCTACCTTAATTTCTCGTAAGTCTGGCACTTTTGTTGATAATATTGTCATTTTAGGTGTTGTCATATATTAAGCTTTCACCCTGACGTAAATTGTTATTAGACTTTAGTGTCTCTTTAAAGAATGCTTATCGTGTAGCCAGGTGCACTAAATTCATTAAGCTAGTCGGATGGGGCAATCTTCGATTAATGTTGCACAAGACATTCCTCTATCGTCATTAGCAGAACCGAGGATGAACAGAAGAAAACAGAAAAGCTAGAACATTGAGCAAACATCAAGTATTGACAGCTGACAGTACAACTACTCAAGTTGAGACGACCACATGCAGCGAATCTGGTAATTGCCAACGACGCGTCGAAGGATTTATAAAAATACAGCTACTATAACAGTTGTTAGACACAACCACAATCAACAGATATGAAGTCAAGGAAGGTATCGGATACGTTACACGTACTGCCTTAATTAAGTGTACTGTATGAATTGCGATGTAGCAACATGCCGCCGGCTGGGACCATACCTACATCCAAAGGCTGCAGATTCCATCCCTGTAGTGGGGTGGGGGGGCAAGTTGTTTTTGTTCACTACTTTTTTTTCACATCTATATCAATTGCCACAGTACACTCGATTAAAGCAGTACAATTAACGTCCCCTATAATTCCCTGGTTTAATTACCAGTTGGTTTTCATTAAAGCTGTATCAAACGATCTCTTGAAATTCCCTTAGTTTGTACCAGCTGTAGTAGCGGTAGGAAGAGCGGGGGGAGGTCAGTGAGAGGCGAACACAAACGTCAAGTCGGCGCGTTTCACTACGCCCGGCGGCGCAACGATGACGCAACGCTATTATCATCGATCCAGACAGATGAGGCGAGGGGGCTGCCACTCAACATCCAAACGGGACGTGGGGAGGGTGGGGGCTTGGCGGAGAGATGGGCAACGGGTAGCGCTGGCGGACAAAGAAATACGAGATCGCGGATAAGTCGAGGTGGCGATCCAGCGCGCCACAAGTTATCGGCTAGGCGCACAACAAGAGTGCGCGGTTAAGGACACCGCGATTCGAGTGGGCAGCTCGGACGCCGCTACTGTTTGGGGCTGGAGCAGCCATGACAGCTGGCGTAGAGGTCACGTCAATGAGAAGCCGGTGCAGAAGAGAGCCGGCACACGCGGCAGCGCATGCGGACGGCCAGTGCGAACTGAAACCGAGTCGAGCCCACGCGAAACCCAAAAACACAACAGGAGAAAAGCGAAGGAAAAGATCGCGGCGATTGTGGCAGAGTAACGTACCCGTTGATGCCAATCTTTATGCTCATGTTGATGCCGGTGCTCGAGTCGCGGAACTCGGAGACAAATAACCTGAAAGAGAGAGAAAAAAAAACAAAACAAAACAGCGTAAGCACACATCGCCTCTAAAACCGGGCTGCCCGAAATCGGGCACGCGCAAGCCGATCGCTGAACAATTAGCTAGGGTTCGGGGGCTACCGAGAACGGCCGAAAATGGAACGGTACTGGAGCGCTAATACCGTACAACTGACGAGGCAGTCCAGCCTGTTTGGCCTCAATTCGACAGGAAAGGTGAAGCGCCACGTAAAACCGCGGGTCAGACGGTTACTAAAGGGGTAATCAAGGCAAACGCTAGCACGCCCGCGAGCGCAACGGGACAGGAAGCGCTAAACTGCCCAAAAAACGACGTTACTCGCCGAAGCCCATGGTCGAGGGGGGTTAGAGCTCGCCTATGAGCACGTATGGACCTAGCAGCCGAGCTGCGAGCGTCGGCCGGCAGGTAGCCGACCCGAAGCCGGCGATGCACAAGATCTTGCGCGGCGGGTTCCTCGCTAAGCACGAACGATCGCTGCGCCGGCCACGCGCTCGGCCTTCAATCGTTGCGGCCCGAGAAGCAGGCGCGAGCCTTCATTCTCTTCTACTCAACAAATCCCTGCACGTAAAGTACACATTTCAAAATGCGGAGCCACGCTTACGCAACGCTTCACAAACAAACGAACGCTGCAAACAGGCGCAACAACGATCGGGAATTGGAAATACCGGCATCAGCAGCGACCGCCGGTAGCAGTTACGTTTGCGACTGCCACGCCCGTCATTCGTACGGGGTGCGAGTGTAAAATTAGCAGTCTCGACGCACAGATGCCGTCGCATTAATTGGGCAACCATACGACGATATCGCGTCAACGAGGAGACGGTACGTGACAATTTAGCCAATTCAAAAATCACGACGCGGAAACAGCGCCGATCACACGCTCACCTCAGCCGCCCACAAGGTCAACTGAATGAACGCGCGGAGCTCGAGCAGTTTTGTTCGTGGGCGTAAATCTCAAACTCAGACCCTCGGGCGAGCAACAAGCTTTTACTAATAAAATTTGCACGTAAAAATTGCATAAGTTGTGACACTTATAACGGTAATGCGTAAATTTACAGGCCTGAATTTTTTAGCAATTTAATATTACGTATTTATTCATGGTTTTACAAATACAAAAGTGAAAAAAACTCCCCCGTAAATAATATATCAAAATGTTGACTCTAAATTAGACAAAATTTTACAATTTACCAATAGTTGCGGCATCTGCTAATTAAAAAATAAACTATCTATTGTTTTATACAACATAATATGTTATAGTTACAATTATTTTTTTGAAATATAGAAAACGCAACCATTTGCAAAATTTTAAAAAGCTTGTGGATAGCGTGTTTTTGTTTTGGAAGGTGAATTTACAACTGACACGATTAAATAACTTTATTAATTACATGACGCCGTCTGCGCTATCATCATCGTCGTCGGCACGCTCCTTTCTTGTTGTTGTTTTCGGTTTGCGGCCGTCGTCCGCAATCGGCGACCTTCAGCGGTCAGGGGCGCACGATCATTCGGCTCTTGCCTGCGCTACACCGGCGGCATCATGTCATCACAGACAGCCCCTGCGAAGACGATACCGAAACCCGTGAGGTTTCTGTTCGGTGGCTCTGCCGGGTAAGCCCCGTGAAAACCTCGGTGCTCGAGCGATTCGTGTCTCGCAAACCTGCACCGCTGGCCGGTCACTTCTGTAACTTGTAAACCGACACGGCGCCTTCACCGCAGCGCCGGTCGTGTGGATATGTAAACGAGATAACGTCGCTTATCTTTCTCTAGAATATGAAAGGACGCCAAGAAGCAGGTGCGATCAATGAACTCGACGGCTTTGCATATCCACTAAAGCCTACCGGCGGATGATCGCACATTCCGCTCGTGTCAAACTCGTTTCGTTTGCGTTAATATACTTTCATATAATTTGGTGTGGAGGAATTTTCTGCACTCTACGCGTGCTCCGAAAATGCGCGCCCGCGTCGGATCGCGGGCGAAAAGCATATTTTGCTGCGGGCTTTCTAGAGCTGCCGTACGTATTCCCCCTACATTAGCGAAACCGATATCGTTTCACTTCGCTGAAGTGTACTGTCGGATGTTTTGGGTTGATTTTTCGGTATGTGGAGCAGCAAAGAGGCAGTCACAAGTTCTGGCAGTAAAAAAGAAAGTGCTGGAGATGCAGCAGCGTATTAAAATTGGACGTATCCACTTAAACAGCCGTTACTTTGCATAACTTCGTTAGCTCTCGAGAATAACAAAAAAAAAAATGAAAATAGCCTTCAATCAGACCAGGTTGAAAGCCTCCAATACAGAAAATATCTCTTTTGGTGTGCTTGATGTAGAAAAACTACAAGGTTCACAATGTTCAAAGCTTTAGTTCTCATTCACACATGCCTAGAACTGTTGTTACAGGGCAAAGAGAAGTTGCTCATAATTTTTTAAAAAATTACGGCATATTCACGGGGTGAATGATGATGAATGGGGGAAGCTCCGGAGGGATTCATCGGTAAACTGTGAATCTTCCGTGTAATTCGCCCAGTCGATCATCATGTAAAGACGTGAGAAACGCTGTGTTATATACACAAATCAACTTTTATTTGTTCTTAGACGATGGATGGCTTGCGATGTCCCTTGCCTCGCGCGCTCGCACATTGGGATTCTGTCTGCGAGCGCGCGCTGCTGCCGCCTTGCGCTCTCTCCGCTGTGCAGCCTTATCCATCCGGCGACTCTGAGCGCGCGCCAACAGCGAACGGATTTTATTACAACGCTCCCCCTAGCATACGTCGCCGCACTAAATCGAACGATTGCCTTCAACCAATGACACGCGCCATATGTGACATCATTCCTATTTTATAAGATCTCGCGCCTTTCATCAACTACAAGTACCGCTTTCTAGTTTATAACGTCTTGCATCTTTTCATCATCAGCTACAAGTACCACCATCTAGTAAACACTACAAGAACTAAACGAGAGGTGGCTACATACAGGAGACGGTACCGCCATCTAGTGAACACTGCAAGAACTAAACTAGAGGTGGCTACATACAGGGGACGGTACCGCCATCTAGTGAACACTGCAAGAACTAAACTAGAGGTGGCTACATACAGGCTACAGGGGATGCACAGCCCATGCCCGAAGGAGCTTCGCCTCTAAAATTCTTGCTCTTTATTGCCGACAGGCATTGTGAGCCAAAAAGAAGGAGTGTTCGTCCTAGTGAATGTTTAGCAGTTACACCGTTCCGCTGCCACCCAAAGCCTTGACAACTCAGCTGAATTTTAAAGACCACTGAATGGAGGTGTGACATGTAGGTTATCAAGATCCAATACTGCACAGCTTCTCCAATAAACGAACCGAAACACTTTGATCGACTCCACAGTGTGCTGCTAGAATGCACAATGATTATTACATGCTTAGCACTTCCATTCTATTTCACATGGTCACATTTGGCTGTCATGTGATGTCGTGATTGACAGTCAGTGTGACAATCTGAAGTGGGCTGGATGTGCTGAGCTCGCTGTAATAACGATTGTACGAAGTAATGCAAAGTTCTAGAATAGCAATTTATACAATGTAAACTACACTGAAATCTCATTGTAACAAAGTTTCATCTTACATGAAAATAAGTTTGTTATATCCAAAAATTCGTTATAGGAGTATATTCTTAACACTGTCTATTACAGCACTATTCTTCATTTACTTCATTATATTTGATATTTCGTTATATCTGGGTTCATTACGCCGAGGTTTGAGTGTAACTCGCCATGTGCTCTTGCAGGATGGCAGCCACGCTGTTTGTGCAACCGCTGGACTTGATCAAGAACCGCATGCAGTTGAGTGGCAAGTATACGCCGGCAGCTTTCCATGCATCAAGTCATAGAGCAGTGACTTTGAAACTTGTTCCCACCTCACACCCATGAACTTGCATCCAACTTAGTGTTGGGCATTATAACTACAGCAGGCATTAAGTAATAATATTAAACGGAACTGCTGCTTAAACAAAACAAGTGCTTCTTACAGGATTGGTTTTGTACTTGTGTTCTGCACCTTTGTTCATCTCTTAGTAAGTGGAACTCCTGTTAAATTGAACATATCTCCCTGGTTCCTTAAGGCTCCATTTAATGAGAGTCTACTGTATAAGTGTCTAATTGTGCCTACAGGGGTTGTACGCTCTTCGAAAGAGCACAATGAACTGCCAAGACTATTGTAGGGATGCATTAAACTTTTTCATCGCGCTGTCGTTCAATGACCTCGTCTATCCTCTCGACTTCATCAGTGGTGTAGTCATTTCAGGATATCAGATACTTTTCAGAGAGGAAGTTTTCTTATTTTGTCTCAACTAAAATATAGTGTCTCTTCGTGTCACCTGACCTTTTACTCTACTGAGACTATATTGAACTCTAAGCAGTCTTACACGAAAGCAGAAACTGCAAGCTCTACATACAGGCTAGGTGACAGAGCCTCAAGTAAAGTATAGTGTCCTATTCTGTCACCTGGCCTGTATATAGAGCTTGCGCTATATTGAGGCTATAGCGAGACACTATGTTGAACTTTAAGCAATGTTACAGGAAAGCAGTAACTGCGAGCTCTACATACAGGCCAAGTGACAGAACGAGACAATATTTTACGTGAGGCAAAATATAGTGTCTCATTTTGCTACCTGGCCTGCATGTAGAGCTTATGGTATCTGCTTTCCGGTAACATTGCTTAGAGTTCATTGTGAAGAATTTTCTTTTTTTCAAGATGCTACAGTTGACACGCACATAAAAGTTTAGCAATGAAAAAGAAAGTTTTATTCTCACAACCAAATCTTTTATTTAATCACCGCTATGTATATAAGAACTGTATAGAACAATGCGAGACGATGACGAAGCAGTAAGCAAAGCAAGCCACAGCGTTGGTAATGTATGCGCGTGACCCGAGCTTGCGCTTGCTTGGATTTCGGACTACTGATGTTCCTCGGTCTGCTGACGTCCAAAAAGCGCAAGCTCGGGTCACGCGCGTACATTACCAACGCTGTGAGTTGCCTTGCTTGCTGCTTCGTCGTCGTCTCGCATTGTTCCCTACAGAACATGTAAATGAAGGTTTGCACAAAAATTAATTTTTTTGTCTATTTTTATGTGTGCTGGCTCTTATAAATTAAAAAAAAACCTTTGATGTCTGACATTGACTAATTAGTCTGTATTGCCATGTTTTTTGTTCGTGAAAAGCAAAATGTGACACTTGTGCAACTGTATGCAGTTCATTTCGTGACATTTTGTCACTCCTGCTTTTTTTTCTGTGCTGTGCAGGCGAGGGTGGCAAGTCCAAAGAGCACAAGACAAGTCTGCATGCCATCCGCAGTGTCATCCAGAAAGAGGGCATCCGAGGGATGTATGCAGGGTGAGAGACCAATTACCATCACTCCTTGCTTCTTTTACATGGCCGCAATGACCTACAACATTGCTTGCTGGGGCCACATTTCAAGACGGCTTTCAGTGCATGCAGATCGACTTGTCAAGGGAGGAGGACGAGCAGTCGCCTCAGTTATTGGACATGCAAGACTTTGTTTAATGCAAAGCCGTCGGTCATTGGACACAGGGCATTATACTCCACACAAATTAAGCTACAGTGTTGCCAAAAGTGACAGTCCCGAAATCTTGTTCCTGTAGTAGGAATATGCTTTTACATTCTCACAGGGTGAAAACTGAGGAAGGCTGTGGACAGTGTAAGTATATGGGATAGTTTCTCGGTCATTCCTCACTCGTCTTGTGAAAGGCTACACGCTGTCCACATCTGTACCTCTTCTTTCATGTGTGTGCAGCCTTATGCCGACAGCTTACTTTACCATATGTAGACGATTATAGGTCGACCCATTTTGTCATAATTTTCAGTCTGAAGTTGGGGGGTCGACCTGGAATCGAAAACTAGTTTCGGTTGTAAAGTCTTCCTAAAAATGATCCCCACGTATTTCTGCGAAGCTAGCTTTTCTGCTCAGCTTTTAAGCACTGCCATGAAGCCACCTTAGTACACCAGGATTTGATGGCTTTTTTTTTTTATAGACATTGCAAATAATTTTTAAAATAACATCTGCTCACGCACCCCCTTTTTTGCCGTGTGATTTTAAGGTTGTCGACCTGTATTCAATTCAACTTACAGTCGAGTAATTACGGCAGCTTGAAGTAAGTAATGTAGGTCAAGTTTTATGCAATATTGTTACACTTGAAGGAGACTGTCGAAGGCTGAAAGAGGCCGTTTATCAGGTCGTGAGGGTGAGCTCAGAAGTGGCCGACTAGTTTTATATCCTCGTGATCGTCTTCTTCTTTTCTAACTCAATATTATGCAATATATTATGCAACAATATTACGAGTGCTGACACTGAATGACTAGCCAAACTTTTGATTGCAGGTAATTGCAGTTACTTTTACTAGGTATACTTACGCATTGAAAGAAATAACTCTGCACTTTCATGACAATAGTGGCATTGAACGTGGCTGTGATAACTTTCATTTGTGAGTGACACACATGTATATTTGCACATTTCAGGGCAGTAATTAGTGCTAGCATCAATTAATTAAACCCGTAATGCCTACTGTATCATATTTAATACATTGAATGTCATACCTCAGCAACGTGCTAAAGCTACTATAGGTGTCACGATAAGCAGCTATTGCAGATTTGACATGTTATGAAAAAGGTACGGTGGATTACATATTATACAATATCAATAATTATTTCCAATTAGTACTAATTAAGTTATGGATCAAATGGAATTTTATTAATATTTTTCTTGAAGTGAACTGTAGAAGAAGAGTAAAAACAGTCAGCATTTTCTCACAATTTTACTGAAGGCATAACTTCTGCTGGGCATTACATCATTAATATACTAGTATGTGCTAAAGTACATTTGAAATTGCGAAGCTACCTTGTGTGGACAAGCACCTTGTGCAAGGTCCTCGCCCGTTTCGTGTTTCTCGCGTCATTTGTCTCTATTCATCTATGCAGTGCATAGTGTCACTTCACAATGCCGTGCCATCTAGCACTAATGGAGGCACTTCAGTAAATTTCGGGTTCACGCATAAGTGCTAGAAAGAAGCCATCTTTATGTATTTTACAAGACACCATTTGCAAAGGTTTGAGTGAAGTAATAAGCACGTCCTTTATCGAAGCAAGAACACTGCTGGCAGTGATGCACTTGTTCTAGCCGGAAAATAAACGGTGAATATCTGGAATTACTAAGAAGTTGCTGTCAAAACCACCTTGTACTCATCGCTGGCCCTTGGTGCAACTTTCTGCACTAAAGCCCACCTAAATTAACACATTGGAGACAACCTGCATGAATTTCTGTTGGACACAATGCATTGCATGAGAACCACTTTGGTGCTCAGAAATTGAATTGCATTTCAGTAAAAAAGGGGCACAAAAAAGTTTGGGTGATAGCCTGTGCACATAGATTGCTTGTTTTGTCCCAATGTTGTTAGACACAATATTAATGAAAACTAACAGACAATGATGCTAAGGAAAGCACAGGGGATGTTACTGTAAGTATATGTAATGTAAATGTGAAGAACGTAGAGCACCGGGCGCATTTTTCGAAGGTCGCAGGTTCGGTCTCTGCCCAAGGCAAGTGATATTTTCGTTCACTTGTCTTCCTTCACGTTTAGGTTACAATTACTTCCCCCATACTTTCCTTGGTAACATTGTGTGTTAGTTCTCATTAATATTGCGTCTAATAGAGAAATGAGCCCTGAATGCACACTTCTTTCGTTCACCCAGTGTTGTTTGTAGCTTCTATGAACAAGAATAGATAACCCTGTTTTTTTCTATGCAAAATGTAGTGTAGTCGTAGCACATTTGGTGATAATATTTATTGATTTTTGGGACGATGGTCTTTTGAAGTTCATGGTTGGTAGTATTGAGTTTGACTTGACATCACAAAGTTGAGCGTGTTTTCTGATTTCACATGTGTGTCGTGGATCTGCTGACGGTATCTCAATCTATCTAGCCTTTCTTTTATCCTTTCTTTTTTGTCAATGGTGCAGGGCAGAAGACTGCAAGCTTATTAATCTCCTGGCTCTTTCTACCTTTACTCTGCTCTATCTGGTATGCTAATGTGGCTGCAAAAAAAAAAAAAAAAGAATAATAATAAGCCATTACTTACGTCGTAAAACGTTGCGCAAGAAGCGATAACGGATTGCCATCTGTGTAGGGGTGCTCTTTTAAACTCCAGCTTGTGCAGCCATTCGTTTAGCTCATTTCTGTTTTGAAGGCTGTGTCTGTGCCATAGTCTGGTTATAAATTTGTAAGCGTGTACAGAAATAACTAGGAGTGTCAGCCAATACCTAAGCAAAAAATATAGGTTTTGTCAAATGCGCACTAACTATACACACTCTTTAAGGGCTTATAATTTTATTTACTTATTTATTTACAATACTGTAAGCCTTTGGGGGTCGTGACAGGGGCGGGAATGCACAATATACAATATCAGAATACTAATACTATGGGCGAAATACAATACTATTTATTTTCTGTGTTGCGCCATCTTGAAACTGTGTTGCCCTTCCTTCGGGGAACCTGCAGATTCGTTCTCTATGCCTTTTAACCTTTAATCCGCTAGTAACATTAACCCACATAGTTTTATTTACTCGCTGAGAATTGAATCCGTAATATGCACTATCAAAAACGTAATCTTGTGGCACAAATGTAACTGAGCGTATGATGCATTGGCTTTCTGCCTATTCTCCGACTGGCTCTGTTGGTATATTTTTCCTCCTTGCGAGAGCAGGCAGCGAGGTGCGTATTTATCTCGTCAAGAACGCCAACATAAGACTGTCGTTTGCAGCTGCTGATGTGCACAGCATACGTGACCGAAATGCTGTTTATTTTTTTTACGAATACACAAAAACCCTGCTAAGACCAACAGACACATCCTTCATGTTTTTTTCTCCCATTCATGCTGGTAATCAAGTTACATCACAGGCAATGACTTAGCGCATCTATTTTATCTTTGCGTACCTCCTGTCAGAGACATCTTATCTACTGCTCTTACAACCGCTTGAAAAGATACACGTGTTAGCCTCAGGCCGTTTGTCCAGACACGCTGTTGCGTAATCGAGCAAACACAGACAAAAAAGTTGGCAAGAAGAAGATGATAGAGAGATAGAGACACGCTCGTGCGGTTCGCATGATAACTGGGCATGCTGATAAATGTATGTATGATATGTAGGTGGCTGTGGCTCATAGGCAAGAATGGTTATTCGTTCATTGGTGCTTCCTTTTTCAAAATTAAGTCCATCCAGGCTACATTAGTAGTGAAGCCAGGGCAGTAACACGAGCACTGGCACTGTATGGCCTTAGTCGTGCTTGAATCATATGCATTGTTTTTTCAATTGTCTGATGGTTGATTTGATCAAAGAAACAGCACTATCGTACTGCTCTCGCAGTAGATCGTGTCAGTTTGTAACTGATATTTTCCCAAGCACTCAGCATTGAATCAATCATCTTGTGACATTCAATTATGCGAAAATGTTCAAAGTGTTCTTATTATGTGTATCTGTGTGTGTTTTTACTGCATAGCTATATTAAAAAAAAAAAAAACTGGCTGTTAAATTAGCATTCGTAGGTTGCTAAATTGCAGATAACAGACAATTAAGCCTAAAGAAATAATGTAAAGGAATTGTTATGTTTGATAAAAATGTGATTTAAAGAGGTAAATTAGAAATGAAAGTGAGTGTAAAAATAATTTACCACAGGTTGAGGAGTGAGCATGTTGTGCATACAGTGCTTCAACCTCATGTTACAGTGGCAACCGTCTTCTTTGACAGATATGAGGCCACAGGATATTGGAAGGCGGTACTATTGACGCTCGCCTGCACTAGCTTTTTGTCTCCCTCACAGAGGCATAAAGAATAATCAAGCCTTTTCCTCCCTAACTTGTACTGGTTTGCGCCTGTTGAAGATGTGCGCATTGTTATGAAGTAAATGTGTGTGAATAGTAAGTTTAGCTTCGAAGTGAATAGCGTTATGGTTCGAATAATTCTAAATTGATTTTGAGTAGTATATATTACATACTAATGAGAAAAATGAGCATATTTGCCATGACCAAACTAACGTGCACAATAAAATTTTTGTAGTTGAACCAAAGCATGTGCAATGTAATCCTTTTTGATTGAAGTAGAAGCAACCTTGAATGGTTGGAAGATTTGACTTTCAATATAATGCAAGTGATAACCTGTAAAATATGTCGCAGTCTTAAAATTTACTGCACAGGGAGAGCATGTGAGCCGGTATAACAAGCTTTTAAACTTAGAAAGTGATGATCAATGCGAATGTAATAAGTTCATTTAAATTTGAAGTGGCGCTTCGGGGCAGTGCGTATTTATCTTGGATAGATATATTCACAGTACTGCAACGCTTTACTGCATTGAAACCACATTTGCAGGGAGTTGATGTGCGGACAAGTATACAGTTGTTTGTTCATTCCGGATAATTCGAAAGTTTTCAGTAGTTTAAATTCAGATCGATATGATTTCGAATACTGTAATGTTTGTTCAAATATTCGAAGTGCTTGAATATTCGCACAAGTGCTTGGGAAGTTCTGTTGTGGCCACCTTCTTTGTTGGCTCTATCCAGGCAAGACTGGCAGACACATGTGCAAAAAGAAAAACTTTGAACATAATATGGTAAAATCTTCTTTGCAGGTTGTCGGCTGGTTTGCTGCGCCAGGCATCCTACACCACTGTTCGCATGGGAGTGTACACGTCACTCTTTGAGACGTTCAGGTATTGGCCGTTCTGCTGACCATATGTAACTGTAACTTTCTTTTACAATAATACTCATCACACTTAGCTTCCTGCTCATACAGCGGTTCAACAAATATAAGCAGCATAAAACGTATTTACCATATCAGTATTACATTCCTATTATTACGTCTTGAAGTTTGCATAAGTATGTACACTCTCTTTTTGATTTTAATGGTAAGTTAATATATGCCTCTATGTGAAGAAAAAGAAAACTCACCAAAGCGGTAATACATGGTAGAATCTGCAATTATGCTGCTAGCATAGGTGATCATGTGCAGCTGCAATTTCCAAACTGTAGTGTCATTTCCGATAGCACTGTCAGTGAAAGTGAGATGTGTCATTCACCAGGGTAGTTGTAGCTTTATTATGTATCGTAAGTTATAACTCGGAAAGTTCTTTCCTTTCTGTAATTATTGTTTAATACTAGGTGCCTGATCGATTGGTCCTTAGCTGATATGTCAAGGTTTCACCGGCTTTGCTTTCATAGTGAAGGTGTCAAATTGGTAGCGTCAAAAAAAAGTTAGTGAGCAGAACAGTTCTACACGAGATGAAGCTCTGGTTTTAAATCTTGCCCTGACCCGACTAAACGAATGTTGTTCACACTTTTCTCACTGTACGATGTACAAATATTGCAATGAAAGTATACTGGCATCTATCTGCTAGTGACAACGTATAAACTTTGGCACTTGAACCCTGCGGCATTGTCTAAAGACGCTGTGGCTAAGAGAATGAATAGTGGCTGGCTTGCGTTTCTCACAGAGTCGACTGTTTTGTTGTAGTGTTCTGTAAGAGAAATTGAAAATTTGACCAGCATTTTTTTTTAGCTACTTCTGTTGAGAACGTAAGCATTTGACTATTTTTGGCTTTATTTTGCTCTCATGAAGGAGACTGCACATAGACTGTATGAAGATCCTCTGTTTGTGACTTCGTTTGTGAAACAAAATACTTAACTGTGGCATAGTATGCTAAGTGTCGAGCAGGTTAAGCACATGTTCACATCTTTGACAGAGAATATGACCATTTTTACTCATGCCAAAATCATGTTGCATGATTGTGGCATGATTATATTTTTTATTTATTTATTGAAAATACCTTACAGGCCAGAAGGCATTGAGTAAGGGGGGTTACAGTGAAAAATCGCATGTAAATTTCAAAATAAAAACGGTACAATGTCGGTTAGTAATAACAAAAAAAAATTAACAAAGCAATAAGTCAGCAATACGTAAACATGGCGATGAAGTATATAAGAACACTCCGTAACATAAAAACCCTCGGAAAAGAAGTAAAAGAACGTCAAGATGAAATATTAAGGAAATGCGTCTGAACTTTTTGCCGAAACGTGTTGGGGTTGCTATCAGAGGCGATATCGTCGGGAAGATCATTCCACATGCGGATGGCTTGTGGTAGTGCGGATGTGTTGAACGCGTTCGTGTTTCCAAAAATGCGAGTGAAGCTGAGATGGTTATGTAATCTGCGTGACGTGTAGAGCGGGCGTTGAAGGTGCAACGACGATGTTTTGTTACTGTAGACGTACTTATGAAATAGGCATAACAAGGACACGTGACGACGAACATTTAATGCTTGGAGGGAATGATGGAGTTTAAGCTGAGTCACACTGGAATTGATGTCATAGTTTCTAGAAATGTAACGGGTGGCTCTGTTCTGGATTGTTTCCAGCATGTTAATTTGATACTGAGCGGAAGGGGACCAAACAGATGAGGCATATTCAAGTTGCGGGCGGACGAAAGTTAGGTAAGACATTTTGCGAATGTTAGTGGGACAACGACGAAGGTTTCGGCGTAAATACCCCAATGTTTTGGAGGCTTTTGCACAAACGTTAGTGATGTGATCAAACCAGGAAAGCCCTGGTGTAAGGTGGATGCCAAGATACTTGTAAGAAGTCGCCGTGGAGAGCCTGTCACATTGCATATGGTAAGTGAAGTTAGATATGACCTGTTTACGTCCAAAAGAAACAACTTTACACTTATTAGTATTCAACCTCATAAGCCAAGTGCTGCACCAGTTAGAAATAGTGTTCAGATCATCTTGAAGGATGGAGTGATCGTTAAGACAGTTTATAGGTCTGTAGAGCATGCAGTCATCAGCGAAGATTCTGATATGCGATGATATGTTAGTTGGGAGGTCGTTGATGTAGATAAGAAAAAGTAATGGGCCAAGAACGCTCCCCTGTGGGACGCCAGAAGAGACATATGAAGAGGGAGAGGAAGAATTATTAACGATTGTGAACTGCTTGCGAAGTGACAGAAAATTGCGTAGCCAAGATAAAGTGAGGGAGTCTAATCGGAGGGCAGATAATTTTGAAATAAGGCGACAATGGGCGACACGATCGAATGCTTTGGTGAAATCAAGAAATATGCAATCAGTCTGTAGGCCATTATTTATGTTGTAATGAATGTCTGTAGTGAATTCTAGTAACTGTGTTTCGCATGACATGCCCTTTCTGAATCCGTGCTGGTTGATATAATGTGTATTACGGTGTATATAGCAGAAATAATAAACTTTCCTCATCGTGCCTACTTTCCTTCATATCTCATTACGCTATATAACATCACAGTGCAATCCTCAGACTCGAGTAGTTTTTCTAATTTCCTTAAAACTAGATTACGGTGAGCTCTTATTGTGAGCCCTTCATTCCTGAATTCGATTAAAGGTGATCTTGGGAAAGATATCGCATTGAACCAGAAAAAAAATAGAGAGAGCTCAGAAAGATTTTCGGGAAACCATTGGATAACTAATGCTTGGAGGATCTATTGTAATTTGAAGATGTGCAAAATGGTCTGTCTGATGGACTGTGTTCAGCGATTTTGATTTCTTCATGCTGTACTTGCAGTAAGGAAGGCAAGCCTCCAGGCTTCCTGGTCAAGGCGTCGATTGGAATGGTGGCAGGCGCCGTGGGAGCCTTCTTCGGCACACCTGCCGAGATATCTCTCATCCGAATGACCGCGGATGGAAGGTGAGTGTGCGTAATCATTTTACTGTGAAATGTTTTTCTCTCATACGACTGTCAGCCAGCCATTGTAAGTTAGTAAATTTCACCAGTCATTGTAAAGTACATGTAGTACATGAATTTGAGTGATTGCTTGGAATGAACCAGGATTTTGGATATTAAAGTTTACCAGGGGAATATATTAATAACCGTACGCCTTGAGCGGCAGTATTCCACATGTTAAACCGTGTAGTAAAAAAAAAAATCAGCTTAGAGGGGTACTGACACAAACGTTTTGGCCTCGCGTTTTTTTGCTGCAATGTGTTCCTGGGGGCCTGTTAGTCATAACACGACACATCATTTTCTGCAGCATGCGACAGATAATTACAGGCTCATCATTATCTACCAGTGTCTGTTTCGGTTTCAAAAACGACAAGCCACAGGGTGCAACTATCACCACCTAACGAGTGCAACGCTCGACCATGTCGGCACACAGAACTGTGACGCACTTCTGCGCGGTTCACATCAAGAAGATTTTTCAATGCGTGAAAACTTGGGCAAGTTGGTAGGACATAACTGAATCTACCAACAGCGCAACCTTGAAGTAGGTACAAAGTAACTACGGAAGCGAAAAAACGAGGATAGAAAAGAGCGCTCGTCGCTATCCTTGTTTTTTCGCTTCTGTAGTTACCCTGTAACTACTTGTAGGTTGTGCTGTTCATACATCAAGCTTTTTCGAACAGGAAACGGGACAGCAATGTCATCAAACACAAAACTGTAGAGTCATGCATCAGGCCACAGACTCCCGAGCAGCTGCCGAGTAATAGTCTACTGGAGGAAATGCAACCAAAGAAAAATGGCGGCTATGACATCATAACTTGCTGCAACCTGGTTATGGGGATATAAGTAATGGGTCCCCGAGGATCCCCTTTGAGGGTGCCAATAGCGCGATGGAGTCAATTGCTCATGCAAACTTCAAAATTATTTACAATACCTTCCAAGCTATATTCGCTGTTAATATCTTGCGGATGATGTACGCACGTTCACAGGGATCGATCCCGCAGCCTATCTCGGCCATGAAATTTTGTGTCAGTATCCCTTTAAAAGAGTACTGACGCGATTTCGAGACATCGCAAAAAGCAGGCTTTTCATTTATTCACTTTCTGGTGTCAACAATCTCCACACATCTGACTTGAACAACACATAGAAGGTTGTACATTCATTTTAAGGTTTTTGTTGCTGAGTGTCGGCAAGCCGGCCTCATCCCAGTGGGCATTATCTCGACGAGCTCCACTGAGGTCGCGAACTCTGTATACTGCATGCAGCCTAAATCACAGAAGTCACTGTCCAAGTCACTGGATGATGACTCGCTCGTCGTTTGCGTGCATCACGAACAAATGACGTATCTGCCGCTAGTAGATTGTGAGTTGCTCTCTTCCTGTGTCGTCACACTGACGACGTGCCACTGGCAAGCCATCTTCTCAATACTTACACCTAAAAATTTTTTAAGGTAAGCGTACACTCAAGCCATGAAAAATAGTCTTGCAATTAACATAGTGTTAGGAATATACCTTTAGAGCGAATTTCCAGATATAACAAACTTATTTTCATGCAAGATGTAACTTTGTCATAATGAGGTTTGAGTGTATTAAAAATATATTGAATGCATTCCCATGCTCCACAATACTCTTCTTAGATTTCTCAGCACCAGTGTTTAGATTTAGAGTGACAATCAGAAAATATTTGAATTTCATGTCAGTACTGCTGTAACGGCTGAGCTAGAGTATGTGATCCACCAAAGAGTGTGCCCATTCAAAAACGTTCAAAGATTTTTGCCATAAGCCTGTGTTGAATCATTGAGCTAAATTGAACTTCTTCCCTGAAGAAAAAAAAAACAAAACAAACACACTGCTTGTGCGCAGCAGAAATACTTTCTGATTCCAAACGATATGGTGCGAATACTTGAATGAAGTGATTCACAGGCCATTCAGAAAGTCGTGGCTTAAAAAACGCGAGTATTTATTTATTTTATTTTATTTACATATACTGCCAATCCCAATTAGGGATTATTGCAGGAAGGGCACATACATTGTGAAAGGGCAAGATTTATACAGAGGGTACTCACTGAATTATTATAATAACGAGTGAGACAAAGCCGACAGAAATACATTTGATGACTACATCAGTACCACTAAAATACATTCAGTAGCATAGGACATCAATTCCAACTAGTACTGAAAAAAAGAATAGTGAGCATATCAAACAGTGGACAAGAAAAAAACAGAGTTTGTCAGTTCTGAAGACAATAAATGACATTCGAGCAGGGATGAAAAAGTTTCCAATGATTGACTGTTTGTTATACTGATTGGCAAGTTATTCCACTTGCGAATTGCTAGTGGAAAAAAAGAATATTTCAGACAGTCCGTCCGGCACTGATATTCAATCAGTGTCTGAGAATGCTTTTGTCGTGTTGGCCTTGTTTCTTTAACATGTACTTTGAACTGTCTATGTTTAGCTGTTGGTGAACTAAGTGATATAGGAATTTCTGACGTGCCAGTTTAGCGCGGTTTTTTATTGTTAAGAGACCTGCTTTTTTTAAAAGTTCTGTGGGTGAGTCAGTTATTCTGTACTTGTTATAGACAAATCTTATCGCTTTTCGTTGTATTCGTTCTAGAGCATTTATGAGATTGTTTGTAAAGGGAAACCACGCGACGTTTGCATATTCTAAGACAGGTCTGACGAATGCTTTGTAGGCTAGAAGTTTCGTTTCAGGTGGCGCGGAAGCGAGACTTCTACGAAGGAAAAACAGCCGTTTTAATGCAGCTGATGTGACTTGACTAACGTGAATATCCCATCTAAAATCTTGCGTTAAAGTTAAACCTAGATATTTGTGTTCAGTCACTACCGGAAGTGGAGAGTTATTTATAACGTAAACGAATTCAGATACTTCCTTTTTCTTGTTATCCTCAAGAGAGCAGATTTCTTAACATTCAGGGTCATTTGCCAAAGAGCACACCACTTAGATATGAACTGCAAGGCATTGTTCAGTTTTACATGATCTTCTGGGGCGTTAATTTCCTGGTAAAGTATACAATCATCGGCGAAAAGCCTCACATTAACACTAATGCCAGCAGGTAAATCATTAATAAAGATCAAAAATAAAAGGGGGGCCAAAACACTGCCCTGCGGTACACCTGACGTAACGTTGGGTATGGTAGAATTTTCGCGATTGACTTGCACATACTGTGTTCGGTTACTCAGATAATTGTCGATCCAGTCAGTAAGTGGGCCTGCGCCTATCGTTGCTTCTAATTTTTTTATAAGTTACCTTCCCCCATGAGGCCCCCCTCAGTATTCACGAGTCTTCCTGAACCACTAAATTTAAGAATGTATGTTGTTACGTTCTATCTTCCTCTGCAGGTTACCACCAGCCGAGCGTAGAAACTACAAGAACGTGTTCGATGCGCTTATTCGGATTACGAAGGAGGAAGGAGTGTTGACATTGTGGAGGGTAAGATGGTCTGAACGGATGCTTCTACAGTCTTAGCCAGTGAAGACAAATAAGAGGAAAAATATATTCTCTGGTTATCTGGGGCAGCTGTATGGCATAACAGTGTAACATTTGTTCAAAAAGCATCTCAAAAACTTTTCAGATATGTATTTATGCCTCAGAGATCTTAAGGGGAGAGGGTAAGCAAAAATATTTAAAAAAATATTTTTTTTCTCTAGCATTATTTGAAATCTGCAGCATTTTCTGAACCAGATTCAGGTGTTTGATTGTTTAAGCATGATTCTTTATTTCTCTAAAAACAACATATTTTAACACTTGTGTGGAGGGAGGCCTGCCATTCCCCCAATCTTACTTAGCAAGGGATTCCTCGCAGTTCAAGCATCATAGCTGAATCGAGAAGTTACAGTTTGCAAGCTGGAGTGATTTGGCCCATTCAGAGAAGAATGGGCCCAGAACTGCAAAAATGAAATAAAGCAGAGGCATCAAGCTTACTGTCTGGAAATCTATATCTGGTCGGGGATGTCTTAGTGGTGTCATCATCGCCAAGCACCAAAACTGTTATCATTGGGCCATTAAAAGAAATAGAGCCAGCTTGGAGGACATGCGAAAAGCTGTACGGTCCACATATTTTCACATAACATCAAAGAATACCAATCGATCTCGTGGCTTTTACTCGAAGGACACCAAAACTTAGAGTGAATTCAACAAAGCCCAGTTGAATGGTGAACCATTCTTTCATAAAGGACACCTTCCAGCATCTGGCTGTTAAGCCAAATTATCTGGAACTAGCTTATCTAGAATTACTTGTTAAACGCCTTCATGCGAAAACTCAAAACCATACCGCGTTGTTGGACTGTCATGAGCGAGCGCACTCCAAGAAAACGTTTTCCCCGGGCATTAAACACTGTAAATATACACTTTTGATGCTGTGTTCACTTTTAATGATGGAAATATAGCACGTGTGAATGTGCTGAACTATTTTAGAATTTCACCAGGCGCTGCGCAGTGCAGGGCCCATGCACCCTTGAACTACGTCGACAGTACTGTGCTGACACAGCTGCATAGCAGGCATCAAATAAGGCTCGCCACACAAGACGCTTGAACGCGGGGAAAAAAAAAAACGTGACTGATTACCCTATGTAATCAGTATAACTCGAAAAGGAAACATGTCTTTACAGAGGTAGTTAAGCGTTTATTGCGCATTGTTTCAGCAACAACAACAAATTGCTAAGTCAGGTTAGGGCTGAAAAACAGCTTGAAACTTGGAGCACACACCTCAAGCAGAAAGCATGCACGAAATTAGCACACACAGGACGAGCGCGGACCAACAACTGTCACTATTGGTACGGCATCGTGTGTCAGCAGCACGCTCCTCTCGTAAACACGGCCGTGGCAGCGGGCTAAGTGGTGATGGTTAGAAGAATAAGAAGGCACCTAAATTCTGCAGCTCGGTAGGGCACGGTGCAGAACCTACGAAGTGCCCTTCGTCCTCTCTCGAATTACGAGTCTTATAAGCAGGAGTGCAGGAGAGACCACACTTCTTGGAGGTGGCACTTCGTGAAGACGACGACCTTCAGATTTCGCCCAACGCCAAGCTGTCGTGCCATCTCGCCACTGATAACGAAAACATGCTTAAGTTTCGAAGCTCTGAGGGCTGGAAAACGGTTAATGGTGTATATAAATGGCTTGCCGTTAACATGCCAGACAATGTACTCTCTGTGGTATAGTGGCTAGCACCACAAGTTGAAAATCGAGAGGTTGCTGGTTCGATTTCGTGTGACAGATGCCTGCCCTCTGTTTTTTTTTTTTCATTGCAATCTCTTAGTATATATTTTTTCAACGTCACTTCCGTGACGGCAGGCGGTACGTCAGCGGAGCTGTGGTAGACCTCGGCACTAAACACTTGCGTGTTAAAAAATGATATTAGTGATGATCTGGTTGGTGTCTAATGAATGGTTCCACTACTTTGCTGTTATTTTGTTGTACTTTTGAAATAACTCAGATTTTCAACTTTAAATGTTATTATGTTGTGACATGCTTTTTGTTTTATACCTATGTTCCTTTTTCTCACCAACCACGTATCTAGAATCATAGATTTTGTCCAGTATTTAGATAATGTAATAGGAAATATGCTGAAGCAGAATTATTGTTTTGTGAGGAAGTGCTCTTCTTCAACACAATATCTAATAACTGTTATCAATTGGTAATTAGGTACCTGAAGTAAAATATTTACAAAGTTAGCATTAAAATTTTTAGGGCTAAATATGCTTCGGTAAAAAGAGGAATGGCTCATGATCACAATGATAGCCAAATACTGTCGCTCTTATGGTAAAAAAGGTACATAAACTTCGCCTAACATACATGGTGGATATAGGGCTTACCCTGTTCCCTTAAAGGGGCCCTGCAACACTTTTTGAGCATAGTCTGAAAACATTGCCAATCAGTAGTAAAGGCTCCCGAGAACACCCGAGCCAAAGATTATTGTGCAGCACTCGGCCTGTATTTCACAATAAGTTATCAGTCAGCTAAAAATGGCCTTCTCTTGAAAAATGATGCCACAATTTCAAAAATTACTCATAGAAGACCATCTATCCGCCATTGGATGATTTGAGCACGGCGCACTCAGTCGTTACAGGGATCGCTGCAGGATCCTGCGACTTGTCTACGCGCGTGTGTGTGATCACACTGAAAAATCTATGAATTTGAAGGGAAAAAAAGAAGAAAAAAGTACTTGATACCACTAGGCGTGCATGACGTATTTTTTTTGCCCATGTCATCCCCTGTGCTTAGATTCCAGTGCTTTCGTTGGGGCGAGAGAAGATAGAATGTGATTGCAGCGTGTGACAAATCTCTGTAACTCTGCTTATACCAGATGGATTCTTAAAATTTTTGCGGCGTAAAATTCGTGAGCCAATAAACTCTTTAAGTGAATCCATTCTATTGTTACTTGAAAAAGTGTTTCAGGGCCCCTGGTAGCGGCATTCTGTGGATTTTGATGGATTGTTCTAGGGTGGACATTTTCTGGGTCTAGTGGACGCATACTTCAGCAGAACAATTTTTAGTAGCGTCAGTTCTTTGTCTGCTCTCATTTTTTGTGCTCATCGATATTTACTGATTTTTTAGTGCTCATAGATGCATACTCCTATGGGGCACATGCATTGCGGATGCCTTCACATGAAAGTGCCTCTTACGTTGACATGGCGATCTGTCAGCATTAAACACATCAATACTATTAAACACATCAACAACACAAATACTGTTTAATTAACCCTTTTGCTACTGTTTACAAGTATAGTCCTCATGAGATTTCGTTACAAAATGATCAATGATGACTACTAGTCTTCAACTAAAATTTGGTGTCACATTGAACCAATGAAGTCTATACTCATCATACTGGTGTTTTCTTGATGCTAGATGGCCACACCTGTCCATGATGGGGCATTTGTGTCTCAGATTCTGTTTTATTGCTATTATTCACCGTATTTCCATGCAGCAAAGCTACCTTTGAGTTATAATTTTCTAGGCGATTAGTGAAATACACTGGCCCTATCGGATTGAAAGAATGATACCATTTTATTTAAAAGAAGAAAAAAAAGCTTTACAAGTAGAGCAAGAAACTTTTTTTTATCTTGTCACGCTTTTTTTCTTGTGGTAGCGAAAGCGCCAATAAACACAGTTATCTCATTCCTTTTGCAGATCATTGCTCTAAAAATATTCACGAGAGATTATCTAGAGAGTTGTATCTTATTTAAAAAATGATGAATAGATGCGAGGGTGAAATGTTAATTTAACCTTGAGGTGGGGTTCGCGGCGGTGCGGACTTGCTTGTGGACAGGTGTATTCACTGTATTCCATTCATCCACTGCAGTGAAATCACCTTTACTGGGATGTCACATGCAGATTAATGCACACCAATTAATTCATTTCAAATACTTTGAGATTTCCAATAATTTCAATTCAAATCAAAGCTACTTGGAATACTGTAATATTCATCGGAATATTCTAAGTTCTCGATTGCACCAGCCTACTAAAAATGAATCCTGCACCCTAAAGTGTGTTCATATGCATTGCAGGTTGCACTGCGTTTGATTAGCTGACAAGAACTATTATCTAGACATGGTCGCTGGGGTAGGCAGGGTCGACAGGGAGTTGAAGGGTTCAAGCTCCCTTCCCCCCCCCCCCCCCCCCCTGAAATTTTTGTTTTGCATGCATATATACTCACACATATACAAATTCACTGATAAACATTCATGAAGTATAGCTATGCCACCTCCTCCTCCTCACCCATAATTATGGCTATGCTACTGGACATGGAGTGAGTGCTACTACTCACTCTAAGGTTAAGAATTTGAGAAAAGGTCGCACACTATAGCACATTAACTAAAAATGCATGTAATACCTCACGGTTAATAAAGATCTCTAATGACATATTTTTGACTGGTTTGGTGGCCCCACCATGTTGGTCTAGTGGCTAAGGTACTTGGCTGCTGACCCGTAGGTCGCGGGATCGAATCTCGGCTACGCTGGCTGCATTGTCATTGGAGGCGAAAATGCTGTTGGCCCGTGTGCTCAGATTTGGGTGCATGTTAACGAACCCCAGTTAGTCGAAATTTCCGGAGTTTCCCACTACGGCGTCTCTCATAATCATATGGTAGTTTTGAGACCTTAGACCCAACATATCAATCTACTCTTTAGCATGAAGCTTCTAGTGAAAGCATGCTCATTCAATGCATATGCTTTCATGTAGGGATGCGTACCGACGATTGGCCGTGCCATGGTCGTGAATGCTGCCCAGCTAGCCTCGTACTCCCAAGCCAAGCAGCTACTACTTAACTCAGGTAAATTGGCAGAAAAACGCTGCTAGCTGGTTCATTTTCGTTGCGCATTGTGGCGAACAGAAAGATTTACCATGCATATTGTTTGTCGCGAAGGCTTCAGAAGAATGCATTGAGTCAAATGCTGACACAGCCTATATGGCAATATACGTATGTGTATGACTTAAATCACACTTGCGACTTGAAGCTTTGTCATTTGAAAGTTTATCTAGATCTGAGTTTCGGTCCAGTGTATGAAAGATCACACAGTGGGCACAGTGCTTATAGAGAGGGCATCATGTCTAACAAAGTGAGTCGGCAGAGCAGTGCAAAGATATTGTGGCTTTAACTTTTGTAATAAAGGTGCAGTAAAAGCTGCCACACCAAATATTTATATCACATTGCAAAAAAATAATAACATGTCTTTGAGTTACAAAGTGCAGTAGTAATCATTAATTAGCAATTTGGCTAGTAAACTATCCACTATTGAAATTTTAGCTAGCCGAAAACACAGCCACTGGTTTTCATGCTTGACTCGAGAAACTTTTAGGCACGAAACTTGGCATATTAAATATTATACATTAAGTTATTTAATTCAGCTGTGGAGTTAAATGCGATATAATTAACATTTTCATTGCTTACCCAGTTTGCCAGGTAGTATTTAGGAACATGCTATGTCATGGGACATAGTAGTGCTTCTACACACTGACAGCATAAATTTCGTTCTATGGTTATGCAAATATCATGCAATAAGGCTGTCGGTCGGTACATTCTAGATTGCCAATGTACAGCTCTTATATATCAGCTTACCACTTACTTTTTCCTTTTCTGTTTTGAGAAGACAAACAAGAATATGTGACAATGAATGAGACTGTGAATGAATGAAAACAAGTCATAAAGTCATATTCTCAATTTAATAACCCGGAAATCAATGGCAAATTAACCAGGGTCTTAGTACTGAGCTTATTGTTGACAGTACAGTGTGTTTAAATTTAGGCAAAGCACTTTTTTTGGGGGGTGCTGCGAAATCAGGGAATCGATGAACCCTACATAAGCATACTGGGAGAAATCTACAGTGGATCCACAGCCACCATAGTTATCCATAAGGGAAGCGACAGAATCCCAGTAAAGGATTCTGTCGGATGTAAGGCAGGGAGACATGATTTCTCCAATGCTATTCACCGTGTGTTTATACAGGAGGTTTTGAGGGCCCTAGATTGCGAAGAGTTAGGGATAAGAGTTAATGGAGAGTATCTTAGTAACTTGTGACTTGCTGATGACATTGCCCTGATGAGTAACTCAGGGGACGAATTACAGCTCATGATTACTGAACTGTAAGCAGAAGAGTAGGTCTGAAAATAATATGCTCAAAACTAAAGTAATGTGCAACACTCTCGGCAGAAAACAGCACTTTGTGATGGGAGGAGGGAGGCTGAAAGTTGTGAAGAAATATGTCTACTTAATACAGCTAGTAACCGCGGACCCAACCACCATGAGAGTGAAATAAGTAGAAGAATAAGGATGGGATGGATCACATTCGGCAAGTATTTTCACATTCGGCAAGTATTTTCAAATCGTGAATGGTAATCTGCCACTAAACCTCAAAAGGAAGGTGTATAACAGGTTCATCTTGCCAGTACTTATTTATGGAGCAAGAACCCACTTACAAAGAGGGTTCAGCTTAAATTGAGGACGACGCAGCGAGTGATGGAAAGAAAAATTATAGGTGTAACCTTAAGAGATCAGAAGAGTACAAAGTGGGTCAGGGAACAAACTGGGCTAAAAGATAGTTGAAATCAAGAAGAAGAAATGGACATGAGCTGGGCACGTAGCGCATAGGCAGATGACTGCTGGTCGTCAAGGGTAACTGACTGGATCCCCAGAAAAGGCAAACGCATGCAAGGAAGACAGAAAGTTATGTGGGCCGATGAGATTAAAAAGTTCGCAGGTATAATGAGGCAGCAGAAAGCACAACACCAGGTTGATTTGCGGATCATGGGAGAGGCCTTTGCCCTGCAGTGGGTATTGTCAGGCTAATGATGACAATGACTTTTTTTTTAGTAGAAGAAACACATATCTACATTTCTGCCTATCTTCGAACATAGGCTATACAGCGATGTGGTTAGTGGCAGCAAAAAACATTTTGGCTATAGCATTTAAAGTGTTAATTATAATTCCAGTTAATGACATGATTTTGCTGGCTGCTGCTAAGCAGGTGAACTACAAAACGGCTGTGCAGACTTGACCGTGTTGCGGTTTCGTTGCAGGTTACTTCCGTGACAACATTATGTGTCACTTTGCTGCCAGCATGATCAGTGGTCTCATCACAACAGCAGCCTCCATGCCTGTGGATATTGCAAAGACCAGGTGTGTTGACTTCAGCGAAATCTTCTTTTTTGTTTCCTTTGCACTTCGTTTTCCGATCTTTACTTGTGGCTTCGGGAATGTAAGTAGAGTAACAAAATGAATCGCTCTCTCACTTTTTCTAAGCAGCCTAAACTGACTTAATGTTACTTTTAGTGTACGGTGCGATCATGCACTGTGCTATAACCGAAATATCAAACTTGTATTTTTAAACTGATTGCAGCATAGTGTTGACAGGAAGACTTCACCAATAAACTTTTCAGCAATCAAAGTTGAGAAAATTACGTGCACAGCTATGGCAAAAGACCAGCTGCACATCTAGACTCACAAGGTCTTTTATTAGACGTTACCTACTTCCGCAATTTGCAGCGCAAGTAATGCAAACACAGCAGGCTTAATCAAGTAATGCAGCCACTAAAGCCATTTATTTATAAGAGCCCTAGAACAATGAATATGTGTGGACTGAAGTTTGCTCGAACTACAAATGAAAGATAAGGTCAGCGTTCATATACACATTTTGTGACATGATAATTTGTCCAGATTATCTTGGTTTGAAGACCTTATTGAGTTTTCAGGCTATGATAACCTGAAAATGTTATCAGCTTTGGATGTACTGACACTAAACTCTGTCCTTGCTACCGTTGCTCCCAGAATGTGATATTCTGCGTTTAAAAGCATAGAGATTGCCTTCATTCTGTTTTAAATCCGTGTACTGATTTTCGTTTCAGAATTCAGAACATGAAGACAATCGATGGCAAACCAGAGTACAGAGGCGCCATTGTGAGTACTATTCCCCAACTGCAAAGTATATCTGTTCACTCACTACACTGGTTGTCATTACCATTTTATTTACTGATGCCTTTATTATTTATTTACTAACATACTACAGTATTTACTTTAGTTAATCATTTAGTGTTGAAAATTAGAGAGCAGAATGAATTGACTAACATTATCGCTTGCATATAATAAAATATAGACCCATTGCATTGCAATATGTAGAGTCACTGTTACAAATTATCCAGTAATAGGCTCCTGGGCACACATGCATGCAGTGAAATTCTTAAGATGTCACCTGTTTAATTTTTATGCCAGCTTGTTGCAATAGTAATCTCAGTTTAGTAGAAAAAAAAAAGAAAAAAAAGAAGAGATTCTATCAGAGCTAGCTTTTCACAAGGAGTGAATTAATGAAAGACAGTCACTGAACATGTTTTTGTGTAGGGAAATATTTCCATGCAGTTCAATAGTCCTTCGCTGCTACCCTTTAGGCTAGCTCGTACGGCAGGGTGTTTATGAGTTCATGTGGCAGTGGTCATGGGTTGCATGAAGATTAAAGTACTTCTTTAGTATTATTTCCTTCAAATGCTGTAGAAAAGTAGCTTTTTGAGAACGTCGAGAGTTTCTCTATTTGTTGCACTCTGCAACAAAACACACTTACCATCAGATCATCTTGTAACTTTCCTGAATTTCCATGAACTGTCAGCCTAGCCTTACCATCTTGTTATGGAGTGTTCACTGTCTAACACGAGGTTTTCTAATTGTGACACATTGTTCAAGAGTGGCTTCCTTTGACACTCCTATAATTAGGCATACCGACGAATTCTGGGCTAGCAATGAACGTTAAAACACTGGGTAACTGTCAACAACCGTTTATTGAATGCAAAACAAGAAAATGACACTTTACAATAATGTAGTAATGCACATGCTACCGTGCGCAACGAAGGTGAATTCGCCCTGCAAAGTCAGAAGTAAACATTGGTCTGAAAACGTTTTAATAATGTGCTTCGGTACGGACAGCAGTTTTAAGACTATTTTCTTTATTATTATTTTATTTAGTACATACTGCGAACCATAAATGGTCCAAGCAGGAAGGGCACATCACATAAAAGAAAAAAAAAAACAGAAATAACATGCACCATACATAATGCAATTTACTCTACTTAATTCACAATGAATGAGGATCACATAATTTGTTCCAATCAGACACTGTCCGTGGAAAGAAAGAATACATAAAGACATCAGTTCTCCTGAAATATGGGGTAAGCAAATTGGGATGGTGATGTCGGGTCTGCCTAGTTGATAGGAAAGATAGATACTTTTATCGGCATTGGCTGAATTGAATGCATTGAAAACCCCGTGTCTCAAAGCGAGGACAGTTAACTTTTCTCCACTAGTTCATCACAGTTGACGCAACAAAAGGCCACATTGATGTCTTAAAGCCAGCTGTATTTATGAGTGTTTGCTGGGGCCTCGTGGCTTTTAAAAAAAAGGGCACACAGTTTCTGAGACATTGATATGCCGCGACATTACCAGGGTCTGCGCATGTCATGTCAGATATGCATTTCCGAGTGAATTCATCCAAAGAACTGAGATTTCAGAATGTGTGCTGTTGTTTCATTGACTGCGGCAGCTTTTGGTAAAACAGCTTCATAATGACCAAGTGCACGTGTGTGAGAAAGCCACTGCAGTGTGACGTACCTCAACACATTCCTGAGAGCTCTCACATAGAGAAAAACGTTTGAAAATCGGACATAAAAATTTACGGTTGGAAATATCGTTGTGTTTGTATACGCAACTCGCCCATGGGCAAGAGACAAATCGGCATTCTTTGGTATCACAGTTATCATTCAGATTGCAGGCACTGCTGGGCAGAAGAACAATATTATAATTGTAAGGACCCGTACGATAGACACTACCCTGACACTGACACGGAACACCGGAGAACACGTCATAAAGTAAAGTGGTCCTCAAAAAAGCACCATCTTTGGTCACAGTAATGCTTAGACATGCACAGCAACACTGCAAACACTGCAACTGCAACAATAGTCTTTTTTGGCAGGATTAGCGAGGAAACTGCAGTGTAGCACTGCTCATAACTACAAAACTAAAAGAACATGTTATTAAAAAAACTACAGTGTGCTTAAATCAGCTTCAAGCTTGCTATGAACAAGAAAATACACAAAACAGAAGAACTGAAGTTCGTGAATTTAACGTTACAGCAATGATCAGCTTGATCTCAATCTGTTAAGAAGGATATGAGGTACATGGAATAGAAAAAAGCATCCCTTACGTTCTAAGTGAAGTAGACAACATGAAATACGTATTGCATTTGCTAGCGTATACCCCGCACGGAAATGACTGAATACTCGAAACTGAAGTTCGGCTGCGAGTTATGCATGAAATTCGGTCGTCTAGTTGACTTTATGTCAATGTTTTGTACCAATGTCCGGAAATTTCTTTTTAAGGTTGACCGCAGATTGTAGTTAGGGGGGCAGGCTACAGCATATACAGGCGCGGGCTCTATGCAAGCAAATACGCAAGTTAGCATTGTCGCACAACCACGTTCTGTTTCTGTGATGCAACCCTGAAGGCAAGGCTGCATCTTTGCACATATGCTTTAACAAGCAATCAAACAACATCCATTATCACTCTGTCAAACAATTTCTATTGCAAGTGGACGCGACGCTGAGCAACAACACTACATCAACAGTTGAGGTTCTCGGCTAAAGTGTTAGTGAAAGACATAAGCAGCAGCCACTGTAGATATGTATGAAAAATGTTTAGACAGGCTTAATTTCAACATTGTTGGTAACCTGATCCTTTTTTACTAATGGCATGCTGGGGAAAGCCACACAGCTTCAGACAGTGAGCTTTACTAAAATCTTTACACAAACAACTTTCTTGGCTGAATCGCCAGCAGCAAAGCATAAAATGTTAATTTTTTTTTTTTTTTGGCTAATGCCACCTTATTGTGGTGTGTTCCGACTAGGTGAATGCCATTTCAAGCTTTCAAAAAATGTTAATCCCTACGACGAACCACCACAGTGTAAGACAGAGGGACATTAAGATTACTGAGCGCGAGAAATGGTGGTGTACACATGGCTTTGAAATATATCTGGTAAAAACTTCAAAGAAAAGTGTTCTAGTGCTTGCCTCTTCATAGAATGTTAATGGACAGTAAAAATCTCGTGGGGTAAGAAAATAAAAAGAAAGCTTGGCAACTAAACATGAAAGGAAAAAATACACTGAGAAATGAAATACAGGTTAGCTATCACCCTTTGTCACAGTGGGATGCAGTAGTGCTATTATCACCGGTTGCACATGTGTAAATTATCGCAGTGTTTATCACATCGAGTGAGAGGAGTGCTTCTGTGTTAAGTACTTGTGCACCACGTGTTGCAAACGATTCCAGTCATGCACATTTTTGTGCCTTTAGTCTATTGTACTCTTACAATGACAAACAGCCACCAGTGGCAAAGTTGTGAAAATGATGGAATAAAACATGTTCACAAGTATGGAAACTCTGTTCAGCTAGCCAGGTGTTTTTGGTCATATGCTATGCACTTACAGTGATTACAGTAGATGAAGCCACAGATGCAAAGCAGTCTACCTTTACCAGCATTGACAAAACCCAAGAAGACTAGTATATTTACTGTAGTTGTTGTACATGGACTACAGAAAAATATGTTTGCACAAATTACCAGTGACCAAGGCCACGAAACTGGGAACTGCGAGAGCCCCACCGCTATGCGAGAATTTACAAACAAGATTGTTAGTTTTGACGCTTCGGTCACCGGTCACTTGTGGCAATATCTTGCTAATGGGAGATTGCCATCTGTGTGAATATTGCACCATTGTAATGTGTTTTGACACGAAATTAAGATTTCTAAAGTTTCGAAAACAAATGAATAGACATGGAACTTTGCCCGATAAAACGAGCCTGAAGGGATGGTTTCACTTCAGCTTTGGGCCGCTAAGTCGTGAAACCGCCTATTCATGGGAAATCCACACTTCACAAATAAATCTGCGTATAACTTGCACCAGGGTTATTATTTTTTTGCTTGCTCATTAGCATTAGTATTTTGGATGCCCTTCGCTGCCATTGGTCAGTGTTTACCGATGGTCCATACAGTGTATCATATGCGAAATCTTTGGAAATTCGGTCAGCTAGCCTTTTCCAGAGCCCACAAAAAAATGGTTGATGCAGTAGAGGGTTCTGCAAGGCCTGCTTTAGGTAAGCAAGACAGCATTCTGGTGTAGACAGATACCCACTACAATCTGGTGCAGTGCTCACAGTGCTTAGCACGGAACTTGCCTTCTCTGGTGCTGAGTTGCCACTTGCTGTCTTTTAACTTAAAGGCTAGCAACAATGCAGTGAGCAGAGAAATGGAGGCAGAAATTTCGGTGGCCTGATGAGATCAAGAAATGTGTGGGAATAACGAGGCCACCGCAAGCACAATCTAGAGAACCGCATCGACTAGGGAAACATGGGAGGGACCTTTGCTCTATGGCGGGTGTAGTCTGGCTGATGATGATGCGTTTTCCTCCTCTGTCACCAGGATGTGCTGACGAAGGTGGTCCGCAACGAGGGCTTCTTCAGCCTGTGGAAGGGCTTCACTCCGTACTACGCTCGGCTGGGGCCCCACACGGTGCTCACATTCATATTCCTGGAGCAGATGAACAAGTTCTACTACCGCGTCGTCCTCGGAGACACGCAGGGACGAGGAGGACTGTGAGACTCGTCTGAAGCGAGAACAGAAGCCATATTGCCATCTGTCTTTCGTCCCGGCTGGCCAGCAGTCACCTCATCTACTCTCCCAACTGCTCGCAAGCACACAGTCCACTGCCGCGAGGCAGCAGTCTCTTTCTCTGTGTTGCCGATCCGTAGAGTCTTTATCTCGCATGTCTCGGCACTGCCGTGAAGCATTTTTGTGGTTGGTTGGCTGTTAGAGGAGAATAATAAAGTATGTATTCGCATTTTGGGCTTACTGAGGGCAAAGAGTTTTATAATAATGAAGCAGTTTGCCCCATACACAGTTTAGTTATTAGTCCGTAACACTAATACGTTGCGACACTTACAGAAAGGTTGTGTTCATATTTGATGCCATGGTTTTGATTGGCGCTGGCCAGCACCTTCCAGACTAAATGTAGCACACATACACAAATACACTCAAACCTCATTATAACAAAGTTGCATCTTACACGAAAATAAGTTCGTTATATCTGAAAATTGGTTATGAAGGTGCTAACACTACACCTATTGCAAGGCTATTTTTCTTTTACAGGTAAAACTTCATTAATCGAAATCAATTATTTCGAAAGCCCACTTAATTCGTAGTATTTACACGGTTCCGTATTTTGCAATACAAGTTTGAGCAGATAATTTGAAGCGATGGTCTGCACTAAATCTGGTTAACTTGAATACTTTGGGTGCAGTGTGTCGAATTCCCGATCCCAATTTCGCTGCAAAAATACGGGAATGACAGCTCTTAAGAGCCACTAGGCGATGCACTGTAGCGATACTTATGAGTGGCAGGTGAAGCACCCCAGCCTCTATACTTCTTGCACGAAAAAAATGGTCTCGTAATCAGATAAAAATTGCGCCTATTGGAAAATGAAGACGTACTTCACTGAAGCACAGCAGTGACTCGCGGGCAGCATGTCGCATTCTTCTCGCAACTGCCAGCGCAGTCGTGATTTACCCATTCTTTTTGGGAATATAAAGAAATTAATAAATAACAGTCTGGCGGAATTCACGATGTATGCAAACCTTCAAGTGCCAGTTGCTCCAGCAATTTGCGCTCTTGCACTGCTGGTGGAGTTCTTGCCTGCAACGCATACTTCGAAACTTACAGCCAAAACACATTGCGAACTGTCGTCAAACTGTCCATTATTAAATTTGTTTTCTCACTAGAAAGAAGGAGCGAGTGGTCGCATCATGACGTGCTGTGCTGACGCAATGAGGTGCAGGCAACATGCCGCTCGCGTGCCACCGCTGTATTTCAGTGGAGATATCTCGTTTTTCGCAGGCGCGCATTTTAGTTTATCACGGGGTTTCTTTTTCTGTTTTTTCTCCGTGGCAGCAGTGAGGCCCCGCGTTCCCCCTTGTTTGCAGCGAAATGGTCATCTCGTATTGCTGGAAACAATAACCCTTGGAGCCGCAAACTAGCCGGAACAGCAAGCGACCAGACCTGATTATTTTGAATAATTTCAAGTTCCTTGCCTCACAGTTTTCATATGTTCTGTTAACTTGAAAATCTGCTTAATTTGAAGATTTTTCACGGTCCCAGTGACTTTGAATTAACTAGATTTTACTGTACTTCGTTGTAACTGATATTTAATTATATCCGATATTGTTATATGAGGGTTTGAGTGTAAAAGAGAAGGGGGACTGCACTATGCAGCTGTTGCTGCAGCTAATTTGATAGAGCGTCTCACACATTGGCTCTGTCTCTCATATTAACAGTAAAAAATCTTTAATATTTGTTTTGCATACAGTTTCATCATTCCCAAATTTCACTAAGGGTAGCAGCCAATTTCTTCATGCTTTCCTGGCTTTCAGTGCAAGTGAATTTCAGGTGGATATAACCAATCAAAAGAAATTGAGCCTCTCCTGTTCACTCTCTCATAACTACTTCACATGACACAATTAAGCAGATGTTGACAAAATCATCACACAATGCATCATACTTAGCAAATGAGCAAACACTATTGACTGAGTGATCAACTAGGCTTGACTATAAATAAGTGAAGACAAAAACAGGCTATTTATCATGATGAGATCTTGTAGAGAAAACATCAAGCCCTACAATAGGAACGATTTGAAGACCTTCGTCTGTTTCCTTGTACACACACTGCCAAGACAATTTGATTAACACAAATACTCACATTCACAGACTTTGTTAACAAGCTTTTGGAGTATCATGCTTGCAAGCACACTGCGGCAATGCAAGTGGCCAACTGTGTTAAAGCAGTGCTTTCGATTGCTCAAGGTATTATATGATGCAAAAAAAAAAAAGCAGAGTGCAATCAAGATGCAGGGTAACCTTTAGCTTTGCGAGTTGAGTTGGTCAACTGAAGTGTCTCTTAATAATATCTGTGGGTGTTGCGAGATATAGATGTACACAGAGTTAAGCGGGGGGTTTCTAAACCTTCTGAAAATTTCAGTGTTTATGTGCGTATCTACATGCACGCACATCTACCCTTCCTGCCCTTCATTTTTTTCGTGTAGTCTTTTGTGCCAGTACCACATAACAAGCACAGACAAATTACTAGCCCAACATTGCATTCTGCTGCACAAATACAAACATGCATATGTACGCTATAGAGAATAGTTATCCCATTCGAAATAAACTCCTCGCTACAGCCATGATTCCTTGCAAACAATACACTGGTGTTCTCTGTCACCAGGCAAATACAGAAGCCGTGAAAGAGGCACACCAATAATAACAGCGGAATAAAACGGCAACATGCAGCGACAGTGCCCACCACAGTGGTGCAGCGGTTAGGGTGTTGACTTGAAGGTCGCAAGTTCAATCCTGGCTGCAGCGGTCACATATAAATGGAGGCGGAATGCTAGAGGTTCATGTGCTCTGTGATGTCGGTGTAAGTTAAAGAACACGAGATGGTACAAATTTCCGGAGCCTGCCATTATGGCATCTCTCATAATCATACTATAGTGTGTGGCTTCGGGACGTAACACCCTAGATATTATAATTCTTTTTGTAGTGACAGTGCACAACAAGACTTCATGGCAAGCAGTGAAAACACATTCGGTGGAAATCGACCCCGAGCTTTATAGCATTCCTCACAGCCCAGCTGTGAGATGTAAAATCGAGACGCGCACCTTTTACAATGGCAAGTGGCATCGTTCCCTGCAAAAAGCTGATGGCGATGCTCCAACAAGCAGGGAGCCCGCACTAAGTGCCGCCTAGGAATGGAACACGCGAAAGATGGAGGTGATGTGACGCCGGCAGATAGGGCAGGCGTCCTGTCGTTTGAGCAGCATGCGACCGCAGGCGGCGCACGTGCACAGGTGGTGGCACGGGTGCAGCACGCAGTTGCGCTCCTCGTCCATGCACACCACACAGTCCTTGTCGCGACCGCCCGTGCCTCCGGCCTCCAGAACCTCGGCCGTCAGGGCGCTGCAGAGTGTGTCCTGCAAACACCAGAGAGAAATGGCCGTTATGCAGATTATGGTGTCTGGCACAAGTGAACATTGCGCTCGTACTAACTCGGTATTGTTGCATAGCGGTTCAAATTTCTCCGATATCACAGTGCACCAGCTACAATCTGGCAAAGCTCTATAAAAGGCACAGTAAACTCCGTTTTGTATATTTGCAATACCTCGCACACTCAGTTTCCTACGTTCCTATAACTACTTCCAGAGATGACAGGTTCGATCCCAGCTGTGGCAGTTTCATTTTACACAAGTGAAGTGCTAGACCTCCATGTGTTCTGTGATGTTTGAGCATATGGAACACCATATCGTGGAAATTGCTGGAGCCTTCCACTGCAGCATGTCTCAATGGCACATAAAACTACACATATTAATATTTGACTATCATCTTACGACTACCAGAAATCATACATATTTGTGCTTAACTGTGAACAATATTTGCTTACAAATACAAGTTCACCTGTTTCACAGTTAATTTGCAACAATGCAATGCTTTCAGAAACCCTAGCAACAACGTTTTTCAGAGAGTGCGTGCTAATGTGCATGTAGGCTTAGGGACGGTTGTCCTGCTACACCGTCAACCCTTATTTTTTTCCTATTCAGCAAATTTCAAATCCACAGACGTGTACTCAAGGATTGTGCTCTGAGTGGGAAAGTCTGGCAGGTCCGACGTGTTCAAGTTCACTGTGAAATCAAAATTCCAGCATGTCTGAACAAAAACCAACAACGTTAAAAGATTGTGTTTTTTCTCAGCTTCCAGTCACTGACAAGATTTCTACATTGAGCACAGGATACACTGACATAAAATACTTCGCAAAAACTGCAGCGGTACAGTAGAGACTCGTGGACAGGCTGCACTTTTATTTTTACGGTCTTGACCAGGTATGGCCCTCACGTGGAACCACGAAATTGAGTGCAATTTTCTGACTAACAACGATATTCACCGTAATTCCCTGTATTGCTTCAGGACCACACACTAAGTGAGCACAGTTCTTTTCGCGAGGACTTTATTCATGCATGCACACCGCACAATGGTCTATTTGTAGGCTTGTGCATTTATACGAATGCTTCGAATATTCTAACAAATATCCCAATATTCGAATTCGCTTCGAATTGAATTTAATTTATTGAAAATTTCGAATTATTCGAGATGAACAGATACGGTGTATCTTAGTCTGCATGTTACACTCCTGTAAAAGTAATTTCATTGCAGTGAAAGAGTGCTAAGCCGTGAAAACACATATCCAGAAAAATCCACACTGCCGCAAAGCTCCCATTGTGCTTTAAATGAAGATATTACCCTCACATCGATTAATTTTTATGTTTAAAGCTTGTTTTATTGACTTATGTGCTTTAAGTATAGCAAAATCTAAAACGTAACATATCTTAAAGGCTATCAGTTGCATCCTACGGAAGGTTAAATCCTGCTACTATTGAGATAGAGATTCAGAGTTATTTCCACATCCTTTGATGAGAAAAAAATAGTATTTGCACAGGCCTTGTCTCAATTTAGTAAAAATACTGTGCAGGTTCGTCAAGTCATGAAAAATAGGCACATTTTTCATTATAATATGCAATATATATACGTATACTACAGTCAAGGCCACATATAACGGCCCCACTTAAAACGAACTTTCACTTAAAACGAACAATATCCGTGTGACCATCAAAACATACATTGCAAACCCGCCGGCGCAACGAAACGATTTTTTGACAACGGCCGCCGATTCTTCAAACACTGCCGCGCACACCGATTCAGGCTGCCATGCACTCTTTCCAAGTTTTTCTAAGTGCGAGTTTCGCGGACCTTTCAAGCAAGCTGCCCGGCCTGCCTCCTTCCCGTGTGTCTTGGTTTTCAAGGTCGCCCTCCCGCCTCATCCTCCCCTCTCTTTATCACAATTCCTTGCCCTTCTCTCGCAAGCCTGCTCTCCTCTCTTGATCACAACCCCTTCGCCCATCTCTACAGCTCCACGACGCCCGCCACGCTGGCTCAAATTAGTTTCGTTTTCTGACTGAAAACAGACCGAGAGCTGTTCCACGCGTTCTGGCATGTGTGTTGTGTGTGCGCGTCACGCTCGCTCTTGGTGTGCGTGTGTGGCCATGATGGCCCATGGGAGGACTAGCACGGTTTTTCGTGCCGCTCAACAAAACGTCAAAACTGTGACTGCTTGGCTTGAGCGTAATCAGCGCGTTAGGTGCCGCGTTGCGGAGCGCTTGCTCATAGCTGTTGACTACCTGGCAGACAACTTGCCGCTTCGGGAATCCCTGTATTCAGCTGTGGAGATGGCGAATATTTCGTGGGCGGCGGTAACGACGACATGCGCGCGAAACTGTTTTCGCGAGGCCGACTTTGTCGACGTCGGGCCCAATACCGAGCCTGAAGCTTCTGAACTGCGGCAGTGATTTGTGGCCACGCGTCGTAGACTCAGACCTGGGAGAGCGGGTGGGACATCTGTTGCGGTGGTTTAATTACGGCCGATGATGATGCCGACACTGCAAAACCGTGCACGGATTAGGGCATTGAGAATTAAGTACCTGGCGAGAGCGATTTGGAGGAATCGGAATGCGAGAACGATGAAATTTTGGAGCCAGTGCCTCATGCAACTTATGCCGCGGGCCTCGGCGAACAAGCACCCTGCCGTTTTAAATGAACTCGAGACCGCCCTTATCGCTTTTGCTCTTCGAAACACGTAGATCGCGGACTTTTTGGGGCAAAAAAAGTTTGTGTTTTCACTCGCAACTTTTTTTAAAAGCTGTGTTTCATTTACTACGAACTTTGGAATACAGCGAACGGATGCCGCGTCACGCTCAGGTTCGTTATAAGTGGGCTCGATTGTATTCAAATTCGATTTGAAATTATTCTACCAAAATCACTATTTGCTTCAAGTTTGCTTCAAACCTAAAATACACAATTAAAACAAACCTAGCTACTTGTCATTACTGCTGCTGCCCCTTCTCCATACACAAGAAGGATAACCGCAGTCGCGCCTCGCTGCGGTGGTCTAGTGGCTAAGGTACTCGGCTGCTGACCCGCAGGTCGTGGGTTCGCATCTCGGCTGCGGCGGCTGCACTTCTGATGGAGGCGGAAATGTTGTAGGCCTATGTGCTCAGATTTGGGTGCACTGTTAAGGTGGTCGAAATTTCCGCATCCCTGCACTACGGCGTCTATCATAATCATGTGGTGGTTTTGGAACGTTAAACCCCACATATCAATTAACCACAGTCACAGTTACAATTACATATATTTCGGGGTTTTACACACCAAATCCACAATATGACGATCTATGCTGTCATGGAACACTCTGAATTAATTTTGACTAGTTGGGTTCTGTAAAGTAGACCTAAATCTAATTTTTCTTGCATTTTGCCCCCAAAAAGGTGCGGCTGCTGTGACTCCCAGCATAGCAGTACATTTGCCATCCAATTCATCTTGTGTGCCACCCTTAATGTGAAAGACACATGCCATGTTAGGGCTCTCAATAGCTGATACAATTTATCGAGAACGCTATCATCCTCTGATATGTTCTTTCGCTGTACAATGCTTGCGTGCCGCATAAGCAAGGTTCCCCTATGAGACACGGGCCAAGCCAAGAGGGCAGCAGTGCTGCAGCAGTGACACCATCTGACGTTGACAATACAGGGGCCACGAGAATTGGATCTTTTTCTCTTGGTCCATGGAGCTGGTCATCCTCTGTCGACACTTGTGTGATGAGTTCGGCAGGATCGATCCCGTGTGCCTTCGTTTGCAACACAAGACCCACAAATGACGCAGCCTTGGGTTTCTGGTGTGGCCGAACTTTACTCGCCTATTATCGTGGTATGGTAAGCTTAAAATTGTCAGCGCTGGATCAGACTACATTGGTTGTGTTACACCGACATATGGTTGTACAATTCAGCTATCAGGCTTACTAGTGCGTAAAAGGTGCAACTAAATGCCCTTTTTCTTGCCTGCACTACCGTGTACTGTGTGCTATTTTCCTTGAGTATGAAAGTCGCTATAATTGACTCGTAATACTACATTGATTGTAATTTCAATTTCTCAATTTTAGTTCTTGGCTACATTTTTTGAAAAATAAAGCTCATAAAGCTCGATGTTAAACATCAGGTGTCCCCAAAAAACCCTCCACATCATCGCTTATGAGCTGAGCCCATAGACGTAGGTAGTATGCGCAGCTGTCATGCCGAGTACCCCTGCCGCGTAACCTGAGCATGATCGACGATAAGCCCACGCTTCTGCTGGGGGTGCCTCAGTCGGCTTTGCACTTTGCACATTAGTTCCGGCGCTAGAGAGTGAACATTCCTGCATAGACTCCGCTTTGTCTACACCAAGGAAAGACACGGCATCGACCAAGACGGCCACGTTAAAGCCTCCAAAATCAACCAGCTTCACTGTTTTCACATGGCTAGGGTAAACTTCTTTCTGTCTTTCTTTGAAGAGTCTTCAGGATGTTATAAAAAGTAGGCAGAGCCACTCACTGGACTGGCCAAATCGGGTGGTGAAAAGGGTGGTGGCTGCCGAGCCATGGCTGTGCGACCCAGCAGAGCAAGCGCCGAACGCCGTGCCTCGCGTTCTCGCTCTGAGAGCACCAAGGGCTCGGGCCCAGCACGGAGGAAGGCGGTTTTGCCCATGCGCTCGAGGAAACCACGCACCCACGCAAGGGTCGCCATGGACGTGCCTTTGCATAGCTGGATTTCCACCTGGAGTACAGAAATGGTGAGCCTTAATTATTTCTGGGGCGTTACATGCCAAAACTATGACATGAGGCCTGCTGCAGTAGACTGCTCCGGAAACTTCGAATATCTGGGGTACATAAACCCGCACCTGAATCTAAGTATTACACGGTTCTACAACATTTCATTTTTGTTCAAATGTGACTGTTGTGGCCAGTATCAAGCCTGTGTCTTTCGGATCAGCAGCCACGTACTTAAGCCACTGTAGCACTATGGCAGCGAAAAGTCATCAGCCCTTGAGGTATGTTATTTCATGTTGCCAAATTTGTGAATGAGGCAGAGTGTGAAATCCTGTCGCAAGCAATGCAAAATAAAGCATGAATAAAAAAACAACAAAAACAGTGCTATGTTTAACAGCAATTGCTAAATAAATATGCGAACTAATATACTAAACTAACAAATATATACCCGAAACTAACAAACAAACCCACAAATAAAATAAAGGAACAAAAAGTGTGGTGTTGCTGGCAAGGTACCCAGTTTGAGAACAAAACAAGAAATGCCAATGTTCATAAGGCCCTCCAGGGGTTCTAAGTTTAGAGAGAGCGCTCATTTTAAATGAAAAACAGTTGAACAGCGGAGTAATTCTCTGCTGATATTAATCCCATTTGCTAACCTACACTAAAGTGAAGAGAAGTTTATCAAAAAAATATTCATTCGAAAAATACAGGAAATACTCAGTTTAATATTACTGGAACTTATTTCAGGAAGAAACATGCAGCATCCCTCATCTTTCATCCTAAGATGCTGCCAGCTAATAACACTTTCTCACTATAATGCAGCTGCCAAAGAAGCTGGCCTTCCGGAACAGTGTGAAAAGTACTGGTAATGCCATTCAAAGCATGCTCCTTTAATTTAATGTTCCGATATGTGGAGAACAATGAGTGCTCGAACTCGGACAAATACAGAGCACACGCATGCATTCTAATTGACAGTGCTCAATATTTAGAAGGGGCACTTCAACAGCTATGTCATTATACCTATAATGGCACTACTATTGGTCTGTGCGGCACGTTTTTGTACCCTAAAAAGTGCGGTAGCAGAACTCCCAGTTGTCGCTACATGCAAAAGGGTCAAGTAGCGGCTCTCGGATTCCAGAACTTCTGAATGGGTTCCCATGCATGTTACAAATGGCACTCGCAGGTATGAACTAAAGGCGCGTCAACAAGCGTGGCCGCCATGGTTCTGCAAGTTGCACGTACGCATTTCAACTTGTATGTTATATAATTTCAACTACAGCAGACTCTCAGTAAACAGAAAACTGTTAAACAAAACTGCTGCTTAAATGGAACTATTGCCTCTACAGTGCTTGGTTTCGGGCTTGTATTCTGCACCCATGTTCACCTCTCAGTAAATGGAACTCCTGTTAAATAGAACATATTTTCCCGGTCCCTTAAGGGTAATGAGAGTCTACTGCAGTACATTCGTATTTCAACTAGTGCGTCATAGTGAAGAGCTCTGGAAATTTTGTCCATTTGGTGTTTTCTTAATGTGCACTGACATTGCACAGTAAACAGGCCTCTAGCATTTCGCCTCCTTTGAAATGCAGCTGGGATCGAGCCTGCGACCTTAGGATCCGCAGCAGGTCATCCCAACGGCTACCCGCCTTTGGCGACCTTTTTGAAATATGAAAATCATTGATGTCACTGAGCGACCACACAGAAAATTCAAGACAGCATCATCTATCCCACTTCTGCATCTTTTCTTCCCTGCCAAATGCCTTCTTGAGTCGAGTGGAATTAAGAAAGAAAAAGAATATCTAGCGCATATGAGAAAAAGGTAAAAAGAAAAAGTGCCGCCATATCCACGAAGTGAATGATGATGAGTGGGCGCAGCTTTGAAGATAAACCTGGTAAACCGTGAATCCTCCATACATTTTGCCCCCTCGATATTATTACAACGCTCCCCCTAGCATACGTTGCCGCACTAAATCGAACAATTGCCTTCCACCAATGACACGCTCCATAGGTGACATCATTCCTATTTTATAACAACTCGCATCTTTCATCATCAACTACACGTACCGCCGTCTAGTTTATAACATCTTGCATCTTTTCATCATCAGCTACAAGTACCGCCATCTTATGAACACTGCAAGAACTAAACGAGAGGTGGCTACATACAGGAGACGCACAGCCCACACCTTAAGGAGCTTCGCCCCTAAAACAAATGCCCCGACACCGAAGCCAGAAATACAGTAGGAACACTGACCTTTTGCCATTGTGTGTCTCCGTATTCTTTCCATTTTCTGGAATGTACTGGAAATGCGTCAAACATGAGTGCTCCTACTAGCCTAGCTAACTGAAGTACTGTATTGTTTACCTCTGAAAGGATTACTGTATGATGGCGAAATTAATTGCTATAGTATTTTCTAAGAAGAAGTTGCCAGTCTACACTGAACTTCATGTTACACTTCAGTGTCCCCTTAGAAGGTTTAGAAAGTGCCAAGGGATATAGACTAGCACAGGCAAAAGGCTCGCACCTCTGGTATGGCATAGACTGGGAAGAGGAAGCGTATTCCGAGGCAGCGGTCCTTGCCCGAGGCCCGTTCAAAGACGGCGTCCATGGAGAGGCGCATGCTGCTGCTGGCCAGAATGGCCGTGGGCCGACAACTCTGAGATGCAACCTCTATGAGGGACACCTTGGCCGCCAAATCCTCGGTGATGCATTCCAGCACAAGCTCGGCCTCCTGCAACCGTATGCAGCCGCGGTGTTACAAAAGTGAGCAGTGACAACCAGAGCATCAACAAACTTGCACAGAGAAGGTATTTTTTAGTTAAAGGCACAAAAAACATTACTTTCTTTGGATATTCCAGCAGTATTATGAGAAAATAATGCTTAGTAGCTTTAATGACATTGCAACGACTGTCAATAACAGTAGAGTCTTAGTAAGCGGAAATCTTTTAATTGGAAGAACTGCTTCTATTATGACTGGTTTTGTGGTTGAATTCTGTGATCCACTTCATATTTCAGTAAATGCAACTCAAGTTATATGGAACATATTTTTTTGGTTTGTCTAGCTTCCGTTTATTGAGAGTCTACAGTAAATCAGTATTAACAATAAGTATTGACACATAGCACTCATGGCAGTTCAGTTGGTTCATAAGCCAGCCAGTTTGATGGGATGACAGCAATAATGTCCCTCATTGTATGATGTACTTAGCATCTTATTGTCTGTAATATACAAAGATATTATTAATGTAAATAATAATGTAATGAATAATGTAATATTCACATTATTTTTATTCTTGCGAATCTGAGATTCTTTAAAGTCTTCTACAAAGGTTATTACTGCCCTGGTACCAGTGACGTTAGCTATACATATTATCCTCTTTTGTAACAATACTTAATTCATGTTATGACATGTTATTTGTGTGCTTCTAAAATGAGGTTCACCTTTCTCTCTTTTGTGCTCACACTATGATGGACATCACAAGCCTCATAATTTCCGTTTTCACTTTATTGCAAACGATCACTGCTGTGCTGTCTTTTATATTTTTTTCCCCTTTGTGCGCGTATGAGAATAAAGTAAATAACCGCATAAACTCAAACCTCAATATAACGAAATTGCATCTTACATGAAACTAGGTTTGTTATATCCGGAAATTCGGTTCATATCAGAAAATAAAGGTTTATTTCAAATACAACACATATATTGCAAGACTGTTTTTTATTTACTTCGTTGTAACCAATATTTTGTTATATATCCGGGTTCGTCATATCAACGTCTGAGTGCATCTCTGAGGAAATATACTATATACTAAGTTTAAATAAGGCAAGTGGTCCTTGCCAGTCATAGGTGCAAACGTTGAGAAATTTTTCTTTAAACATTAACAACAAAGCAAGGTTTGCCAATAAACGGAAAAATTCCACTCGCCTGGAAGCTGCTTGAGGTGTCAAGGATACATTGTTAGAAAAAGGAAATAAATAAAAATATAACATATAAAATATAACAAATAAATAAAGCTACAGTGGACCATTGTAAACTTTTTGTCGTACTATTGAAGACAACTCCGTCAACATGAATGTCTGAACTGAATGAGAGTCTCCTGAATACTTAAAACACCCCTCTTGGTTAACAACATGAGCAGACCAAAAGCTTATGCATTCCATTCACACAGCAATGGCGACACTACAGATGGAAACCAAGCCTGTGACCTCATGCAGCAACAGCAGAGTTCCTTGGCCTTCATTCCTAGGTTGGAGAAAGGCCTTACCGTTAACACTGACAAGCGACATTTGGTCATGCATTAATGTAAACTGCAGTGCAGAAACGCATAGACGATCAGAAAAAAAGGCAAATTCTTGTCCTTTTATTGCGATAGCAATTGTATGGACACTCTTGGCTGGTTTTTGCCGTCACCGTCATGTCCCAGATATGTATATGTATGTATACACAAAAGGTGCAAGAAAAAATAAACCAAAAGAAAAGAAAAACGGAGCACTCACCGGGTTTTTGAACCAGTGACGCCTCGCTCCTAAGCACACTGCGTTAACTAAGCCATGCCACTTATGTTATCCACATCACTATTGGTGATATATATATATATTGTGGGCATTTAGTATACGCATCCTCTTCACCGGTACATTATCATCATTATCATGTGTGGCTCATGCATCATCATCGTTGTCGCGTAGCATCATCATCTTGGCTCATTCATCGTAGCTGTCGGCTGCCGGTTCCTCGGGCCTAATAAAAGGTAATCCAGACCAAGACTTCATACGTGGTGGAGGTGCGGGGTCCTCCTCTTCAGCCTGCTTCCCTTACTTCTGATCGGCGTCCGGAAAACTAAGCGATGCAGTTTTTGGAGGACAAACTGCATTCCAACACAGGACTCCAATTCCTCCAGCGCGCCCCTACAATATGATTGCGGTCACAGTTGAGGGAGTGGACGTTGATGCTTTGGTGGACACTGGGGCTGCGTTTTCTGTTATTCGTGCTGATTTGTGTGCCCGTCTTCGAAAAGTCACGACGCCTTATGATGGACCGACACTGGTTACAGCCCAGGGAACAATGATTCGCCCTTCCGCTCTCTGTACTGCCCGTGTACTAATCGACGAAATTCTTCATCACATAGAATTTGCTGTGCTATCCCCGTGCTCCCATGAACTCATTTTAGGCTGGGACTTTCTTTCCTCTGCTTCTGTGGCTATTTGCTGTGCACAACGTGTCGTCCATCTTACTGACACGGACCACTTGCTCAACGACGAAACCTACAGGCCACTTCGACTCATCGCTGCAGTAGACATCGAGTTACCACCAAACGAACATCAATTAGTGACAGTTTTGTCCAACGACGTCGACTCTGGTGACATTTTGGTCACTCCGTCACCGTGTTGCCTTAATAAAGGCATAGATCTGGCATCAGGTGTGGCTCGCTTCAACAATGGATCAACTGTCCTCGCTGCTACCAACACCACACAAGATAAAATTTTACTACCACGGGGCACTACTGTCGCCTGCGTTGCCGATCTGCAGCCTGTGTGCGTTGTGCCTCTTACCCCTGTCTCCTCTAAAGGCCATCCTGCAGATCATGCTGCTCCCTCGGCCTTTACAGCAGCCATCAACAAAGACTTGAATGACTCACAGAAGCAGCAGCTGCTTGATTTGTTGGAAAAGCATGCAAACTCCTTTGACGTTCATTCATCCACCCTGGGCCAGACAACTGCTACAGCACATCGTATTCAGACCGACGGAACATCCATTGTGCACCGCCGTCCGTACCGCGTCTCCCTAGCCGAACGAAAAATCATTGAGGAAAACGTAGACGATATGCTGCAACGGGAGATAATCCGACCCTCAACCAGTCCTTGGTCGTCTCCAGTGGTTCTGGTGCGTAAAAAAGATGGTTCCGTACGATTTTGCGTCGATTACCGAGCACTCAATAAGATCACTAGGAAGGACGTATACCCCATGCCACGTATCGACGACGCCCTCGATTCTTTACAGGGTGCTGAATTCTTTTCAAGCCTCGACTTGCGTTCCGGCTATTGGCAAATCCCCATGCACGAAGATGCTAAAGAAAAAACTGCGTTTGCGACCCCGGACGGCCTATACGAATTCAATGTTATGCCGTTCGGTCTATGCAATGCACCCGCAACTTTTGAGCGCATGATTGACACCGTGCTGCGTGGCCTGAAATGGAAGACTTGCCTATGTTACCTCGATGACATTGTTGTCTTTTCATCGACGTTTCCTCAACATCTGCAACGCTTGGACGAGGTCCTGACTTGTCTTGCGGGCGCTGGTCTTCAAATTAACACCAAAAAGTGCCATTTCGCCAGCAGATCTATCAAGGTACTCGGTCATATTGTGAGCAAGGACGGAATTCGCTCAGACCCTGATAAAACTGCTGCAGTGCTTCGCTTCCCTCGCCCTGACAAACCAAAAGATTTGCGAAGTTTCCTTGGTCTCGCCTCTTACTTTCGGCGATTCATACAAAACTTTGCCTCCATAGCCGCACCACTTCATAAGCTACTTGCTTCCGGTATGCCCTTTCAGTGGTCTCAGGAATGTGAATCGGCTTTCGACAGGTTGAAGAGTGCCCTCACGCCCGACCCTGTACTTGCTCATTTTCACAATGATGCACCGACCTTCCTGCACACAGACGCTAGCGGCCGCGGTTTAGGAGCCGTGCTCCTGCAACGCGACAACTCTTCGCGAGAGCGAGTCGTTGCATACGCCAGCCGCGTCCTCTCCGTAGCCGAGAGGAACTACACGATAACCGAGCAGGAGTGCCTCGCCATCGTTTGGTCAGTACAGAAATTTCGTCCATATCTGCATGGCCGCCATTTCACCATTGTGACCGACCACCATGCTTTATGTTGGCTTTCGACACTCAAGAACTTGTCGGGACGCCTCGGACGCTGGATTCTACGCCTCCAAGAATATGATTTTGAGATCGTGTACAAGTGTGGCAGGAAGCATAGTGACGCCGACGCTCTTTCTCGCTGCCCACTACCAGCGACTCCACTCGGGGTTTCCGCCATCGATTTGCACAACACGCCCTCGGAGTCCACGTCTACGGCGGTTTCCTCTCTCGCCTTTATGAACCAGCTGCCTTCGGACGACCCGCACGATTTTCCTTCTCGACAGTTGGCTGACCCATACTGTCGACGTATTATAGACTACCTCACTGGCAGTTCCCGTCCACCTAATGCAAGGCTCCGTCGCCAACTCTCGCAATTTAAACTGGACAACTCGGTGCTGTACCGCAAAATTTACCATCCTGACGGTCAGCGCTGGGTTCCCGTTCTACCCCGATCACTTCGTTCCGAAGTCCTCAGGGCACTTCATGACCATCCGACTGCTGGTCACCTTGGTTACCATAAAACCTACGATCGCCTTCGAAGTCGGTTTTATTGGCCAGGCATTACCACTAGTGTAGCTCGGTACGTCGGGTCCTGCACTACCTGCCAATGTAGAAAACTACCAACATCTGCTCCCGCCGGTAAACTACAGCCTCTTCCGTGCCCAGCCACACCATTCGAAGTTGTAGGCGTCGATCTTTATGGCCCCCTCCCAGTCAGTGCTGCTGGAAACCGGTGGATAGTAACAGCCATTGACCATTTGACGCGCTACGCCGAGACGGCATCCGTTACTACAGGTTCAGCTTCTGAGATTGCCGATTTCGTCCTCCGAGCCATTATACTGCGTCATGGTGCTCCACGTGTGTTGCTCAGTGACCGTGGAAGGGCCTTTCTTTCACAACTAGTGAACGAACTTCTTCAAGCCTCCGGCACAACTCACAAGACTGCCTCTAGTTATCATCCCCAGACTAACGGCCTCACTGAGCGATTCCACCGCACTCTTGCTGACATGATCGCCGCCTATATTCAACCAGACCACAAAAACTGGGACGTTGTTCTACCATTCGTCACTTTCGCCTACAATACGGCCATTCAGCGAACAACCGGCTACTCGCCATTTTACCTAGTTTATGGACGTTCCCCTACTTCTTTCCTGGACGTCTCCTTCTTTACCTGCCAAGCGAATTCATCTCCATCCTCTTCAGAGGAATACGTTTCACGACTCGCACAGTGCCGCCAACGAGCTCGTATGAACACTGAAGCCCGCCAGCAAGACAGAAAGCTACTTTATGATGATTCGCATCGTGATGTATCCTTCCAACCTGGAGACGAAGTGCTCCTTTTGACGCCTGTTCGCACACCTGGTTTGTGTGACAAATTTCAGCCTCGGTTTATTGGGCCGTACACCGTTCTTGAAGAGACTTCACCAGTGAATTATCGCGTGACACCACTTGTAGCCCCAGCAGATCGCCGTTATCGAACTACAGAGGTCGTCCATGTCTCCCGTATGAAGCCCTTCATGCGACGTTCTTTGTCTCCTTGACTTGCCGCGGCCAGGCTGGCCGCTTTCACGTGGGGGGAATTGATGTGGGCATTTAGTATACGCATCCTCTTCACCGGTACATTATCATCATTATCATGTGTGGCTCATGCATCATCATCGTTGTCGCGTAGCATCATCATCTTGGCTCATTCATCGTAGCTGTCGGCTGCCGGTTCCTCGGGCCTAATAAAAGGTAATCCAGACCAAGACTTCATAATATATACGATTCACCATTGGCTTACTGTCAATAAACTTAAAGGAAACATTCTTGAACAAAGCTAGTATATCTCATTTGTAGTCATGCAGCACGAAAAATGAGACAGCTAGTTCCACCGAAAGGTGGAACTAGCCAATTCCCCATGATGGTTGGGAGGGTGCCATATATTTAGGAACAAGCTAGCAAGTAAGCTTTTCCCGCCATCCAGCTGCTTCCCGTGTCAATGCCCACACTGCAATGTTTGGGACAATCTGAGGCCGATGTTATGATGAAGTGCATTGGAATTGTGCTTTTTGCTACCGTCACTGGTATCATAGATATTGACTGACGCCAAGGAAGGAAACGGTGGCAAAAAGGCTGTATGTAGTTTGGCCTTTGTGATGCTTACCGTGTCGTACAAACACCTGCGGAACAGCTCCAACAGAATGCTAGTTGTGCTAAAGCGAGGCAGGCTTGTATACGTGCCCAGATTCAGGGAAAAAAGTGCTACTGCGTGCGCGAGAAACGCTGCAGCTCAATACTCATAAGTCTGTGTTAACTACACTTTGTATGGTTCTTCAGCAAATCTCTTAGCCTTACTTCATATAGCAGTCCAAGAAGTTGCTATAGCATTCATTGCTTCAGCCTTTTATCCTGCCTCTTAGGCAAGGTGCAGAGTTCTCCATTACCAGGGGCCGACCTTCACCACAGCTCCACCCCTAACCCCGCCTCAGTTGGTTGAGTCTTACAAAAAGCAAGCTATGCAATCGATGCAAAAATGAAAATGAGGCGATTACGTCCTTACAAAAGCCTGTCTAGCGGTAAAAGTTAGAAGTGAACAGCTATTAAACAGCATTATTGTTAAACACATAGCCCTGCGCATTAAAAATACTGTGGAAGGGTTGACTGAGCAATGGTGTGGCACCCCCTTTAGGTGATTAAAGGGGGGCAAGCCTCACTTTGTCCCCATATGCATACCTGTGCTACCTTTCGCTGTGAATCTGTGCTGTGATACCTAATCACATTTACCACAAGATTGCGACTGAGCTGACCTTGAGTGCCTCCTCGAGGCGGCTGAGACAGAACACGCTGCCCAGGAATCCCGGCTGGCGCAGCAGACCGCACTCCCTCAGCGCCTTGCGATCCTCGACCAGTCGGGGCGCCACTCGGTCCAGGGCTTCGGGCAAGGCATCGTGCACGCGCACCTCGTGCCCCTGAGCTGCCAGTTCGCCCGCCACATTTACTCCCAGGCCACCACAGCCGATTACAGCTACACGCACCATGCTGACAGCTGCAGCAAGAGTGTAAACAGTTTGCACTGTGCCCTCTCACCTAAAAGGAATAGAACGACCACGCTGCCAAACACTCACTGTTCGGTAACACACCAAAAATCAGCAGCCAAATGCTGTAAGTCGGTAATGTTGATCAGCTTTGCTCTACACTATCCAGGTTACTACTGTGACTGAGCATACCCAAGCAGCTTTTGATTTTGCATTCATTTTATTTGTTTGTAAATATTTTGTGTCCATTAATAATTTCCTGTTCAAGGTGGGCACCAAGTGGGAGCAGCCACTATCCTGAAATTTTAACTTGATTCCTCCAAAAGTTAGATAGAGACAAACCTACAGCAAGTTCTTCCATGGATGCCCCAGCTACTCTGAAAATAAGTGCCTAATAATTACTGTTGGGGTTTAACTTCACAATCCCATGTGTTTAGACAGAAGTACCAGAGCTAAAGTTTCTTCTTAAAGCATGTGCACAAAATACTGAAGTTATTAAATAAGGCCTACAACCAGAAAACATGATTATGAATGTTTTCCACTCTGGAAGGCATCAGCATCTGACACAGATTTTATAGCTGGCTATGTATACAAGGATTTGCAACCATGAGAGTTGCAATGAAACAAATGCTGATATGTACAGTATGAAAATATCTTTAGTATTTCACACTACAGACCCTATTTATGGCCCAGCAAGGTAGGTAAAAGGAAAAAGGACACCTAAATTATATCTCCAGCACATTATTCAGTGTTCGTGTTTGGTGCATTCTGTTAAGTGTTCTGTTCTTTTACTGTTCTCGAGAAGAAAGTTCTTAGATGAATCAGCTCTGGCTTGGCATGTCATAATCATTTCACTCCCAGTGGAAACACCCACCCCAGTTACCAGAGTCTAGACTGAACTTAGCGTTACACTTCAGTGTCCCCAGCAAGTTTCAGCAAGTTTGTTAGTGAGAGCAAGGATAAAAACTGAAGAGTATGCCAAGATTTTCTGCGAAAAAGAAGTGGCTCATTGATGTTGTAGCTCATTAGTCAGGTGAGGAAACCATACCAGAAATACCCGAAGTTTTTTATTCTAATGAGTGTTCCCTATACCAGTTATATTTTGTTCATGTCGCTCGTGTGCGGGCCTCAGTGTGGTGCATATGCATTCATGCGCGGGTATTATTATAGTAGCGGAATTGGTCAGTTAAGGGCAGGAAGGTGCATTGTGGAGATCATGTCCCAGGGGTTAGCTTACAAAAAGCTGCTGTATAAGTTTATTTTTCTTCTAGAGGGTTTGTACTAGTTGTGCATTTCGATCATCACATGGTTTGAAGTACACTCAAACCTCGATATAACGAACCTGGATATAACAAAAATTGGTTATAACAAAGTAAATGCAGAACTGTCTTACAATAGATACAGTGCTACGATTACAGATTTATAATGAATTTTTGGATATAACAAACTTTTTGTGTGTAAGATGCAGCTTTGTTATAATGAGACGTGGGTGTATATTTAAATGTTCCTAATGTTCTCCAATAGCTATTGCCAATAGCTATGACACGAAAAGATAAAGCCCAATATTTATCAGAGTGACCAATCCTAGTAGTATAGCTCTGAAATATGGAAGAACCTATGATGTTGACAATCTTAATAAACATAGCATTGCAGAATTGAAAGTTGGCCAGCACAAGTAAGCTGTTGCAAACTAGTACTCACCTATTTGTTTTGCTTAGCATGCATTATAGAGATTCCACTGAAACTGAAACAAAAAAAGACACATACACAGAACAGCATTAATTCATACTTACTTCGCACACAACGTATGTTCAAATAAGGCAGCTTTTATTAATAATACAATTCTTGAGCAGTAAAACTTAATTCCACATACGCATAGCATGCATGAAAGATGGCAACTTTGAGTGTACTTAAAAAATGTTTTTCTCGATTGAACTCCATGTCCACAAAATGGCAATGCCCGCTTTGATAGCCTGGTGCCATCAAGGGTACTAAATAAGCTAGAGTTCACGGGATTGAGACATTTCGTGAATTTAAGTATTTATGCTGTTTTAAAAACAAAAGGTGTACACTGCATCCCGGTGCCACCTCTACAAAGCAACATGCATGCTTCTTTAAGAATTATCATGACGAAGTTTTGTTCCGAAAATCATTGGTCAAACACCCACTGAATGTGTACCGTGGTGGCTAATTGCCTGCCAGTGAGACAACTATTAAATAGCTTGGAACTTTCTAGGATAATCAATATATGTGCTGCTTACTTGGTCTTCTAAAGAGCTAAATGTCACAGTGGCAATGAGGTACTTCTTACGATAAAAATTTTGAACTCACTTTATGTGCCTAATTTCTATGCTCAAGGACAGAAAGGAAAAACAATTATAAAAAAAAAATGGCGGGGAAAGTACTAGAGGAACATTACTTCAAGGTGCTCCTTAAACAATAAAGCTTGTCTATTCCTTTTGGTTCATTGAAACTTTTCAAAATACTAGCGCTATGCATTATATCCAAAATATTTCTTTATCCTCATCATGGTACATGATAAACGTCTTTGCTAGCTCCACTAATTATCTGAATGCCCACACTTCCCCATAATACATAATCTATGCGTGTTCTAAAAAAAATGAAGGTTGCGCTGCATATTAAGAAATGTGGGCACTTGCTACCACTGAAAGCAATACTCGAGTAAGAGGTACGGAATCTAGTGTGACAAGGAAGTAGCAGGGTTGCCAAGGGACATCAGGGCGGAGTTAGTTGGGACAACAGCAAACACAGTAGCACATGTCACATTCGTAGCATAGCATGAGAACAGCCATATGTGGGCGTTGTGCATACCAGAGCATGGATAATTTGAGCTTTTAACAACAGCTCTTTAGTGGCTCAGATGGTACATTGCCTGCAACTTCCTGCAACAATGGGTACCATACAGTAACATCTTCTGCGTTCTACAAGTGTAAGTCTGAGCTAGCTGGCACATACACTAAAAGGTTAAAATAGGGTGAAATGTATGAGACACCTAAAAAAAAAAAACGTGTGGAACATGAGCACATTCTCTACACTGATAAAACAGTACACCTTGATTTTCTATACAGCATCTGTATAAAGTATGTGTCTATTTATTATGTTATCATTTATCGTTGTAAACAGCATTGCTCCTGGTACACATAAGTGTGCTAATTAACAATGATTTCCACTTGTTCATCTGACCCAAGGTAATCTTGACGTGGATAGTTTATGTGTTCGTTGGCTGTAATGTGTTGGAGAATACGGTAAGTGACTTGATTCTCGACCCAATTAGTGGTACAAAAAATACTGATCAATTGCTTTCCTTTGCCCTCTTGATGAAACGATCAATGCATTCCTGCTCATTCCGTTGAATTGTTTGGATTAGCAATTTCTGTCTACAGACACAATATACCCTTTAAAAGATTAATTAAGCAGCTCACTGTACGCCACAAAGAGAGTAAAAATTTTGTTTGAGACCTTTTCAGTAGAACCTTTTCATGCGCGCAAAAGGTGAATTAATATCTCACCTATGCATGACCAGAATCCATTTTCTTTGAAGAACAATGAGAATTAAACGGTGGTACGTCGATGACCTTTCAGACCGGGCAGCGCAAACAGCGACCAGTAGCCTCCGGAGCCGAGCTTTGCTCTGCGCCGCAACACGCACAACCGAAACCAAGTCTGCTATCAGCGGGGAGAGGTCACAGTCAGGTCATGCACACTTAAGCACATTTACACGCCCACATTGCCACCCTCTGCTTCAAAACCAACAACACTGATTTGACTCGCGCACACTTGACCGCGCTCCACCTCGTCTGAGCGCGTAGGAAGTACGCTCTACTGCACCCAAGCGCACATCCCGAGTTTAAACACTTTTCGCAATCACCTACGGTCGACGCTAAGCACCTCACATTGTTCGCGATTGATCGTCGTAAACGTATCAAAGTAAGTTGATCGGAAATACTACCAGTAGATCAGCAACGGGTGCGAATTGCACCAAACAGCGCAACAGGTCTAGCCGTATCAAAGGGTTGATTTCGCAGCAGCAGGCCGCCAAAGCTTAATGTCACTACATTACGGGCATGGGAACGGCGTATTCTTCGTTTACGCGCTTTAATCGATATTTGTTTACATTCAAGGCCGCATCGAGGTGAACTTACCGCGATGACTTGTCTGTTTCCGCGGGGAGTAGCAGGTGTTTCGCCTCAGAAGTTCAGCGTTGCTGCGCGCTGGATGCGCGTGCAACGCTTCTTCGCGAGAACAGATAGAACTGCGTCAAACTTCCACGTATTTCAGCAGCTGCGTTCTCCGATGGACTGGCCCTGCCCTACTTCCACCCGAGTTCCACGACAGGCCGGCGGTTTCCAAACCAAATAACCCGCTGTTGTCATGGCAACGCGGAAAAACACACAAACAAGAAATGTGCTGAAACATGCCGGCCGTGACGTGTTTTTGGCTGCGCCTGCGGAGCGCAAAAGCGTATCCTCTAAGATTAGCAACTTTATACTTGTTATCTTGAAAATTTGTAAGAATTTATCAAACCTAAAATTTTTACTGCATAGAGCATTTGTGATATTTAAACATACGCTATAATTGACGAAGTTTTTTGATTAAGTTTAATAAATTTAAGAAAACATTATTGCTCAGCTGGGCTGCCGATGACCTGATAAAAATATAAATATAATAACTGTCAGATGACAATACCAGAGTTTTTTTTTTTCATATAGTGAAGATATTAAAAGAGTGAACTAGTTTGAAGTTGCGGTGGTAAACTCGATGGCCAAAACCATCAAGTTTTTGTCTTGTTTGTATTTGAGGCGTATTGTTAGTCGGCGACTTGGTTGTGTTTTTGGTGTTGCGTAGGTGTTCTGTGGTGTTGTGTTGTGGCGGAGTTCGTTGCTTCTGTGGCGGCAGCCTTAAATGGCTTCCGACGCCGCAATGTCCGAGGAAAGTAGCGAAGCAGACTCCGTTCTTGAGGCGAGAGTAGTCGCCCTGGAGGACGAGCTGCGGGAACTGCAACAAGCTCCCACGGCGGCACCGCTGGACGCCGATTACGACCGATGCTTTATGAAAGCGCACCGCGAACTGACCGCTGGAAGGGTTCCCACCGCCATCCCGAAACAGGCGCTGAGAGACGTGCTCTTGCAGGACTCTGACAAACGAACGGGAAGGACTGGAACGCGTGCTGGCTCACTACACCGACCAGCTGAAAGCGGCCGAGGCGGAGATCGCCGTCTTGGAGGACCGCAACAACGCTATCGCCGCCGCGAAGGACGAGGTGCCGCCAGTGCCGAACGACTACGATGCCTTGAAAAAGTGAAGCCCCCCTCTTGTTGAATCCGCCTTTTTCTTTTTCACGATGTCACGGCGCATGCGCCCTTCGCCTAGCGGAAAGGGACAAAACATGCCGTGATCATGCATGGTTTCGTTCTGGTCATATTGGTTGTTCCCGGTCCACATAGAGTTTCGTTATAATACGTTAGAGGAAAATATTGCGCTAGTTTCTACGGTAGCTGCAACGCATGGCGCTTCAGCCAGCATGAAAATCATCGCTAATACACGATTTCTCCTAGCCTCGTTCTTTCGGTCTGCAGCCGCTTTGTCGCAAGACAAAGTTCAGCAGTTCCACTTCACAACCATGACCCGTGTAGGCTTACCAATTCAACTAGGCCCATAAAGTTGCTGTACGTTCTTTTATCCAAAACAAAGGCCAAAACACAACAATGAACAAAGTCACAATTGCATTTCAAGTTGCAAACACGAAACTTTGGCAAATTCGTGTGCTGCTCATAATTTCATGTGGTGACTGAACAATTGCAGCACCAGAGCCTCTAGTAAATATTGTAGGAATCGTATGGTGCCCGAACCCTACCAAATTACAGTATTACTTACGTTGTGTATGCGGTATGAAATGTTGCTGCCCGTTACAAGAACGATTCATGGACGACACTGCGAGCGATGGAAAGGAAAATGGTAGGTGTAACCTTAAGAGACAAGAAGAGAGCAGAGTGGGTCAGGGAACAGACGGGGGTTAAGGATATCATAGATTGAAATCAAGAAGAAATGGACAAGAAGAAGAAATGGACATAGGCAGGGCACATAGCATGTAGGCATAATGACCGCTGGTCATTAAGGGTAACTGACTGAATTTCCAGAGAAGGCAAACACATGAAGGGGAAACGGAAAGTTAGGTGGGCCGATGAGATTAAAAAATTCGCAGGTATAGCATGGCGACGGAAAGCACACGACCGGGTTGATTGGTGGATCACGGGAGAGGCCTTTGCCCTGCAGTGGGCGTAGTCAGGCTGATGATGATGATGACAAAAACGATAGATGGATCGAAGCTAGTCAACTAATAGCTCTGCGTTGCATTGCCTTTTGTAGTCCATTATAGACATGTGTTTGCTGGTTTCTGATAGTCATACTCTCGTTCCAGACGTAAATAGGACAACAACACATCAGCATAAGTATAAACTTTCCATTTTCACTTGGCATGTCCGCTTCCCAGTAGGGACAGACTGAATGGTTAAAAAAGAAGGATAGTTTTCCACTTTGCATTCAAAGAAGACCACTGAATCCCCTGAACTAGGAAAGCCTCAATAGGTTTTGACATAGTCTTTTGATGAAGCGAGTTATCCCCTTAATGCCAGTTTTGGGAAAGCGCTTCTTGTATTTATCCACTGTTAGTAACCTGAAAGTGACTCCCAATGCGCATTTGATTACATGCTTGAACTCATTTCTATTGCAGATAACCTATAATGGTCTGGTTATAATGTGGTATTTGCAGGTTTGTGATATCTCTCATGTATACAACCTTATATTTTACTGCCCTCTCCGCCTCGATGGAACAGTGCCTAGGGTGGTTGCCTGCTGACCCGAATGTTGCGGATTCGATCTGGGCCGTGGCGGTCACATTTCGATGCGAGGCAAAATGGTAGAGGCCCGTGTGCTAAGTGGTGTCAGAGCACGTTAGTATCCTACGTGGTCGAAATTTCCGGAGCCCTTTATTACGGCGTCTTTCATAATCATATTGTGGTTTCTGGAGGTGAAACGCAAACATTGATTATCATTGTATTTCACTAGACTTAGGTCGAAGTAATGAGGAAAATATGAAGTCATGTAGCTTTTATTTGGAGGAGGAACACACATTTGAGCTTCTGAGCACCATGTCAAATATTTTCACTTGTTGATTGGCTGACATGCTGCCTGGGGCAAACTTAGCATGACTTTCTTTCATTTGTGCAAACTTAGTAAACAAGCTAGCCACCTTTAAAGCTGCTCAGCAACCTGTTTGTGAATTTCATGTAGAACATGTTTGCCATCTGTGTTTACCAGTCTCGTTGTGGACATAGAAGGTTACATGCAAAGGAACTTTTGCAAAGGATGGCCCTGCATCACACAACATTGTTTGGAAAAAGAGAACAAATGTGAAAAGTGTAGCTGTGTTTGTTAATAATGTAAGAGGAACAAGAGACGAGACGGCGGCGATGAGGCCGTGCCATGGTCGCAGCTTTTATTGGTACGCGGGCAAAGAGAGGAAACCAAAGCGGTTTCAGCTGATGCGTCCAGCGAGGCCAAGAGCCAGAGCGTTCCGATCCTCACGTGACTCGCGTATCAAGAGCCACGCCGCTCTCTTCTTTTTTTGTCGTGTCTACTGCGGCGCTACATAGGGCCCCTCCTAGCGTATTTCGCAATATAAAAGAGAATGTAGATACGCTAGAGAAGCTAAAGGAACAAATACTATATACGTGTGCTGGCAATGTCATCCAATGCGCTGAGGACAGCGCCTTGAGTTGCCTGGCCCCGTGTAACCAGCATGGCCGACCTCTGCAAGAGTGCGCCAGCTTAAGCCTGCAGCCAGTCAATAGAAAGTGCCGTGGATGTGGACCTGACAACGATGAAGGCACTGTGGAGTGTCTCGCGACACTGAAACGGAGAAGCCAGTACAACTGCTTGCTGCGTTTGAAGTAGCCAAACTGTCCTCTAACAGAAATTCCTGAATCCAGATTCTGTTGAGCTCCAGAGCTGCCTCGAATTTCACGAACCATCTTTCGATGCAGGCAGCGCGGAACGGTGGTAATGGTGGGTCGAATTGCGACCTCCAACTGTCAGCTAGCTGGTACATGGCCATGGAACTTGGTAGCAGCGGTGTAGCGGTGGTCACTGGTTCTTGCATCCGAGTTCACCATTTGTAAAGGAACGAGAGATGAGACGGCGGCAATGAGGCCATGCCATGGTCGCAGCTGTTATCGGTACGCAGACGAAGAGAGAAAACCAAAGCGGTTGCGGCTGATGTGTCCAGCGGGGCCAAGAGCCATAGCATTCCAATCCCCTCGCGACTCGCGCATCACGAGCCACGTGGCCCTCTTCTTCTTTTGTTGCGTCGACTGTGACGCTACAATAATAATAATAGTGACTCTTGGGGTTTTACATCCCAAAACAGTCATATGATTATGAGAGATGCGATAGTGGAGGGCTCCGGAAATTTCTTCCACCTGGGGTTTTTTAACACGCACCTAAACCTAAACACATCGGCTCTAGCATTTCGCCTCCATTGAAATGCAGCCGCCATGGCCGGGATTTGGTCCCGTGATTCGGCCGAACACCATAACCAATAGACAATTACGGCAGGTAGCTCAGTTTGTTTCAGAGCTAATTTACTGTGTTCTTTGTAGTTTGCCTGTAGGGAACCCGAAATCTTGCATAAAGGTGGCAGATGAGTTGAATGTTGTGATTGACTGTTGTCCCCCTTACTGTCACAATGTCCAGGCTGACCAACACGCGGCAAAGACAGATTGGGCAGTACCTCGAGCTTTTGTACCCTCTGCCACAGCATCTTGCGCGTTCGAGTGCATGCAGCTATCTCACACTCAGTGAGATTTTCGACAGGCTACTGGAGGCCAGTGCCAATGGACCGGAGGAGCGATACATCGAACTGGGCGTGGAGTTTTGGCCACCACACGTGCAAGTGCTCCTCAATGCTAACTTGGTAGAACGACACCCTCACAGCAGTAACCGCATCCGATTGCGGGACTGGGGTTGAGCTTTGTTGTGCAGAGTGTACGTCCGCACAGACGTGTATTCGCCTTCTAATTTGTTGTCACAACATGGTTTCGCAGGGTTTAAAACTGTGCATTGAGCTTGCCATGTATTAAGATATTACGGGCTTCTTGAAAAGAAGCATTCTGCAATCAGGATAACAAGCTTCATTTTTAGTCCCAGTCACCACAGCGACGTAATTGCCATTTGTTGACAAAATGGTATCACGCAAGTGAATTTCATATACTTACACTGTAGTGCTGAAACTTTTTAGGTTGCTTTCAAATGAGTGTGGCCACTGTCAAACGATTTGTCTACTCTTCAACATTTTTGTGCAATAGCTGACGAAGTTTTCGCTGCTACTGGAGATGCTAAATTTTAGTGTTTTAGTTCCTTAAAATATGTTGCAAGATAAACCTGTGCATGTTTTATAAGAAATTGTCATGCCATTTTTATTAATGCGATGAACTCTGATGAACTCTGCCATAAATGGATATAAACTTCACTCATGTGTGCTGCGAGGGTGCTAGCACCTTCTGTAAAGTTGTTTGCGCCTCGTGGTGCACGTGTTTCGCGCATAGGCCGCATTTTGAATTCACAACTACGAGCGGTAGGTGGCATTGTGCTTGCGAGCGTTTATTACTACCATCGTCATGGTTAGTGTGGTGGCGCTGGCAGTGATGCCTAGCAGCAAGCCTGAAAGGGCGGCACATGAGAGATGAGCGGTTCTCTTTGGCGTGAACAATTGCCTCTTGTGGTGGGTCCGCGGTGCACGTCACCGCGAGTCATCTGGCGTGGGCCCTCGTGGTGAGTCAAGTGTTCGCCACCTTGTATTTGTTATGTTGTTGAGTGCGGTGTATTATTGTGTAAGATTGCTTTAGCGTGTGGATCACAATTTGTGTATATTAATTTGGCTGGCGATATCGTTCTTTTAAAGTAGTTATATATATGTGTGATGTTTGGTTTGTTTCGACCCCGTCTATTGTGTCCGTGTTCCAAAAGCATGGCGTTCCATTGCGAGACCCCACAGTGTGAAAGTTTGAGAGACAAGGCGAACTCATGACCACGCGATGAAAGCAACTCTGCTCATGCTTTGTACCTTTTGACCGTTGGCTATCCTACAAGGAAGTCATCTGCATGGATTGACATCGGTAAGCATTGGCTGTATACCGGTCTGAACTGTAAATATTTTGTGTGTAGGAATGTACAGTCGGCCAAAACTTTAACAAGTGCCCTGTGGGCGTACTTGTCCTCACCTTTTCTTGAAACCTAATGTAGTCGTATGGCAAAGATACACAGAAAAAACTGCCACTCATGCACGATAGCTAAAGATTTGGCCGATTTTACATGTTGTTCTGCTGTCATGTGGCCTACACAGTCGAAACTTCGTCCTTTTGCGGTGCTTGTTAGTAGGCTTGTGTGTATATTCGAATGCTTCGAATATTTTGATATTCGAACCAATATCCCAGTGTTCGAACTTGCTTTGATACGAATTTAAATTATTGAAAGCTTCGAAGTATTCAATTTGAACAAGTGTATTCACTCAAATCTCATTGTAACAAAGTCGCATCTGCTCCCAAAATAACTTCCGTTACATCTGAAAATTCGTTATAAATGTTTATCTGCTACACTGTATTTGTGACAAGAGTATTATTCATTTACTTCGTTATAACTAATAATTCTTTATATCTGTGTTCATTAAATCGAGGTTTGAGTGTATTTCAACAAGTGGAGATTTCACACCTTCAGGAAGTGTATGGTCACTTTTTTTTTTTAGTTTCTGATCTTGAACCCTCCATATGCAGGGAATTAGTGACCTTTCCATGCAATACTGGAGGTATTTCAGTGAGCCTTTTCTCAGTGAACATATTACTTTGAATGTGGCTACATGTGTGAAATTAGTGAAGACATATATCATTACAAAGCATTCTGTGTTTCTGTCTAGATAAGCATTATTCAGATGCATTTCATTCATTCTACATTTTGTTTTTTGTTTAGGCTATTGATGAGTTGATCATTGAAATAGTTCATTCCTGCTCTAGGTTTGAAGAACTTGGTGTTTCATGTATAGTTAATGAACCGGTAAGATTCATTTAGAATATTGAAAAAGGTTGCGTTAAATTGTTTTTGTACCATGTACAAATAAAGGGAACCCTAGAGTGCCCTGGATAATGGGCAAGATCCCGTATTTCTTTTGCCGTGTTACCCAACTACGTTATGCAAGAGAAGTGGTGAGTTTAGGATTTCCCAGAAATTTCAGTCTCTCAAGAATGAACTATGAGTGACAGGTTTCCGAGACATATCGTCTATAAGCATGGAGCATTTTATTATCTGTGAACCTAACACTACAAACAGTTACTTGCCAAGTTTTGAAGAAAGGTGCAAACCAGCATTTAATTATGAAAAAAAAAAAAAGTCCTCTACCACTAAGCCCCATTCTTCTGCGATCATCAGTCAGCATGCAAACTATTGCAGAGACTATGCTTAATATTTGTTTAATCAATCTCTGGCCCACCAGGTGCCGCCGCAACCCAAATTGTCGCATTTTCTCGTCCGATGCAAATGCCATAAAATAAAGCTAATAAGACTGATTGCACAATTGATGCTTCAAAACACTGCCACCTATAAAATGCAGGGGCAGCTGAAAACTAATATTGTGGTGGCGCTGCAATCCACAAGATGTGCGTAGTTATAACATTGTAATAAAACGCACTTCATCCTGAACACTTGCATTAGTCTGTCAATGATTCAAAGGACTTCAGTGTCGTATCAGGCAAGGGTCCCTGGTGTATGCACAATAATAATCATTTCAGGGTCCCTTCAACACACATAGGCAGTGCCAAACGCACTTTTTTGTAGAGCTTCAACATGCAGGGGTTAGGATCAGTTTCAAAGATGTTAATGTAAAACTGACCACATGTGATAATCTATGCACATGAAGCTTATTACATGCTGCCATCCTTTAAGTTGAGGAGGCTCATTGAACTTCGTTATGACATTCACATCCACCAACTAAGTTAAAGTACGTTACAGTTGAACCCGGGTATATCGAACTCTCCAAAAAATGTTTATTAGTTCGATATATGGCATAATTTGACATAGGCCCGGTATAGGTTTTGACGCAAAGGCACATAACAAACTAGAAGAAAAGTACTTTATTAATTGGTGGCTTACTTGCATGCCGTACTGTGGAACAAATTAGTCCCGGATTTTTTTCTGTGCCAACGACTTCGCCGCCTGCAACAGCACACACGCCTCCACGTTGTCCAATGAGTCGGAGCAGCTGAGGCCGCAACCTTCCACATTCAAGCAATAGCGCCATACCAACGCAAGTGCACTAATCACTTCGGAGGATGTAGGCAATGAGCCGTCGTCGATTTCCATGTTGCTGTTGCTTTGGTTCGTGGTCGGCACGACGTCTGCAATGTAATCCTCATCCTGTAATTGGCCCATGATGGGGACATCATCGTCCGCACTGACGAACTCGTCGAATGTTGATTCGTCGATAGCACCCGGAAACTCTGCCAGCTCGTTCCAAACTTCAGCGGAAACACCTGCAGTGTCTTCAGTGCTGTCAGAATTCGGGGTGTCATCACCAGGCAAGTGGAAGCCGGCATGCCTAAAGCAGTTCTGGATCGTCTCCTTCTTGACATCTGCCCACGATCTACTCAGCATAGAAATAGCTCCGAGCAAGTCGATCTTAAGCTCCCTGCTGACACGAAGGTTCTGCAGCAGCCTCTCCACCAGGCGCTTCCGATAGCCGGCTTTCATTGCGTGTACAACGCCTTGATCCAGTGGTTGCAGTACAGACGTATCGTTTGGGGGCAAAAAATGCAGCTTGATGTTGCTGAAGGTCGTACTGCAGTGGTGCAATGAACAATTGTCCACGAGCAGGCACACCTTGCGATTTTCGCCTACCAAATCATCATTCCACGACGATAGCCATCTGCTGAAAAGCTCCCCGGTCATCCACACTTTTGAGTTTGCTCGGTAGGTAACTGGAAGCGACCGTATTTTGAAAACACCGTGGTGCCGTGCTTTTCCCAATACCCGGAAGTCTAAGCTTTTTCGATCCGTCTAAATTAGCTGCCAACAGCACGGACACACGAGCTTTGCTTGCCTTGCCGCCGCTTGCCTTGTCGCCACGACACGCAAGTGTCTTGTTTGGCAACATTTGCTAAAATAGAGCAGTTTCATCCGCATTGAAGATATTGACACGTTTTTATATGAAAAAGAACGATGATAGGAATGTTTTGTAGATTCCAGCTAGTGGGTCAGGCGGTTTTTGGGACCACAACGAAGCAAGCGTCTTGCTGTACAGCTGATCCTGGACACGCTCTTTTCGCTGCCGTAAGCTGCTGTCATCTTTTGTTCGCGTTGCACTGCAACACTGGTGGAGGAGCTGGGCCGCGACGCTGCCCGATGCTTCACACCCCTAGTGGGAGCCGTTCATCCAGCCCGGACGTGCCTATTGCAACCCCTGTCCATCAATTCAGTCGTCAGCTACGAGGTCTTCCTTCAAACTTCAGCCCCTCGCAGAAGTCCTCTACAAGACATCTAGAAATGGCTAACACCAGCCCCCAGCTTGTACTTCTCTGCACCAGTCCTCCCGCTCCATCCCAGGTAACGTTTTTTCAATCGCTGGAGCCTGAACGCTTTGGTGGTGGCGCACACGAAGATGTAGATGACTGGTTCGATCACTATGACCGTGTTGCGAAGATCAACCAGTGGTCTGCTCAGGAAAAGCTCGGCCGGGCCTACTTCTATTTTGATGACAGCGCTCGTACTTGGTACGAGAACAGAGAAGGCAGCCTGTCCACATGGACCGACTTTCACCAGCAGATGGTTGAAACTTTTGCCAATGTCAACAGACGTGACCGCGCCCACCAACTACTAGACCTAAGGGTCCAAAAATCCGATGAAACGGTCACCATGTTCGCCGAAGACATGACACGTTTATTTCGGAGGGCTGACCCGCAGATGACCGAAGATAGGAAGTTGCGCTACCTCATGCCTCGCGTGAAAGAGCAGCTGTTCACCGGAATTCTGCGCAACCCGCCAAGCACGGTAGAGAACTTCATCAAAGAAGTGTCGGCTATTGAGCGGGCACTTCACCAATGCTGCCGAAAATATGACCGCTTGTGCAGCAGCCCCCAAATTCAGGCCGCCGCTGTGACGTTTGACAGTCATAGCTCCTTGTGTGACATGATTAGAAATATTGTTCGTGAAGAACTTCAAAGGTTGCGGACTCCGGTAGTGGATACGCCTACGGCATCTGTCGCTCAAGTCGTCCGCGACGAAATCCGCCGAGCATTCTCGACAGCTGATCCTGCCCCCGAGCAAGTCCCATGACGTACGCCGCCGCCCTTAGAAGTTCCCCACACACTCCGCCTTCATACTACCTGCCACCTGCAACTGTTCCTTGGTCACCACCACAGGGGGAGACATCGTGGCGCCCACCCATCCAGCCCCCATACGCCCGGTTGTCTTCTGGCCTGCCATAGCCTTCGTCACGTGAGGAGTCATCACGGCATCCACAGCTTCGAAGAACAGACACCTGCCGCACTGTAGACAGGCGTCCACTCTGTTTCAACTGCGGAGGTGTAGGCCACATAGCCCGCTATTGCTGGCACCGCACTGATCCGTTTCGCCCTCTCAGGCCACGTTTTGACAGTCGACATGCAAACGACTACGTATCCCGCCGTGGCGATGTCGGTTCTCAAGGACCTCTGGCGCCCCAACCCCCATTCGACGGCCGCCGCAACAATGACGACGAGATTATAACTGATTACGAGCCGGGCTTCCAACGCCGACTGCCTGTCTCGGTCACCAGTACAGTCAGCGTCTCTTTTTGACGACGACGATATGGCCTTCCTTGGTGTTCTCGATGCGTCCACGATTGCCCAACAACAACGAGGCGACCCTGAATTGCTTGATTTGATTAATTACGTGGACGGACATTGTTGGATGGCACCCAGAGTCTTTGCAAGGGCATTATCGTCGTTTTGCTTACGCAATGGCGTCCTCTACAAAAGAAACTTTTCATCCATCGGAGCTCCCTATTTGCTCGTTATTCCTGCACCCCTTCGAACTGAAGTGCTTCAAGCATGTCACAACGAGCCGACGTCTGGCCATTTAGGCTACACTCGCATATTGGCAAGAATACAGCAAGGATACTACTGGCCACGACTCACAACAGCCGTCAAGCACCACATTAACACTTGCCTCGATCGCCAGCGACACAAGTCACCTCCAAAGAGACCCGCTGGTCAGCTGCAACCAGTTCAGGTTCCACGTACACTGTTTGACCAGATAGGAATGGATATTTTGGGACCCCTTCCTACTTCTACTGTAGGAAATCGCTGTGTTATAGTCGCAACAGACTACCTAACCAGGTATGCCGAAACAAAAGCTATCCAAAAGAGCACCGCAGCAGAAGTGGCGAGATTTTTCATAGAAAATATTGTGCTACGCCACGGTGCCCCGACTATCGTGATAACAGACCGCGGAACAGCATTTACGGCAGCTCTTTTAGACCATGTCCTGATGCTTAGTGGAACGACTCACCGTAAGACCACTGCAAACCACCCGCAAACGAATGGACTAACGGAGCGCCTCAACAAGACGATTGAAGACATGCTGTCGATGTACGTGGATGTCCAACATAGGAATTGGGACGAAAATTTTACCCTATATCACGTTCGCATACAATACGGCTAAACAAGAAACAACTCGCATGAGTCCATTCAGCTTGGTTCACGGACGGGTGGTACGGACTATGCTGGATGCGATGTTGCCACATGAATGAGACGCTACCAACACAGGCCCTGACGTGTTCATTGAACGCACGGAAGAAGCAAGGCAGCTCGCCCGCTTACGGATCCGGCAGCTACAAGACTACGACGCAGGCCGCTACAATGCTCGCCATAGAACTGTAACGTACAAAATCGGTGACACAGTGTGGGTTTGGACATTCGTACGAAAACGTGGACTGTCCGAGAAGCTGCTAAGGCGATATTTCGGGCTATACTGAGTGTCGCGCTAGCTAAGTGACGTCACTTACGAGGTCATCTCCGACAGTCCCCAATGCCCGAGGTGTCGCCAACACCAGCCTGAACTTGTGCATGTAGTGCGTATGAAGCCGTATGTGAGCCACTGACTGCACGTTAAAAAAAATATTGTGGGTCTGAATCAGCCTCGGGGCGATGCTCCTATAAGGAGGGGCAAGTGACACGTGTTTATATCAAAAAGAACGATGATAGCAATGTTTTGTAGATTCCAGCTAGTGGGTCAGGCAGTTTTCGGGACGACAACGAAGCCAGCGTCTTGCTGTACAGCTGATCCTGAACACTCTCTTTTCGCTGCCGTAAGCTGCTGTCATCTTTTGTTCGCGTTGCACTGCGACAATATCTTGGGCTCTATCTTGCTGCGATATCTCTCCAGTTTTCCTCGAGCCATTTTTCTACACTGTCCAGTTCTGCCGCTCTGCTTTCACCTGTAACAGCTTGCCAATGATGTCGTGCCGTTCTTTGCACCGCTGAAGTCAGCCCGAACCACCTTGGAAATCATTCCTGCCAAGCAGAAAAGCAAGGTCCTTGGCTTTCTGCTCGATCATACGGCTAGACACCGGGTCGTTTCGCGACCGAACGTCCACAAACCACTTGTAAACGGCCGCTTCAACATCTTCGTACACAGCAGCGCGCACACATCGGGCGCCATGGGCACCTGGCCTTTTGTCCGACTTGGCCCTGATGTCTGCTTTGTTCTTCAGTTAGTACTCAAGGTGCTCCATGGAATTTTGTACGTGGCGACGACGACGGACTTCTTTTCACCGCGCTCAACCCGATTGATGATTTCGAGTTTCGCAGCGAACGGCAAATTTTGCGTCTTTGCGCAAGCCATGATGACAGCGCGCCAATACAGTTCACAGAGCACTAACAGGCAACACTACAGACCACGATGAATCGGCGGCAGCAGGCATACAAGCATAAAGAAAGAAAAAAATGGCGCTCACTTCTACCGCCTCTGTGCCTCTGAGAAAGCACGACGGCCTCTGATTGGCTGTAAGTGCTGGGAGCGGGGCAGGATCATTGCTTGGAGGGGGGTGTTCGCCCGCACACAACCGGGTCTAACCAACTTTTTCTAGGGTGGTGCCGGCAGTTTTCCCCGCCACCGCGAGGGAAAGCCAACTTGCTGGGGCACTTTTGAGACACATGGAGATTCATATATCAGTTGTTGTTATTTTCGTTCGATAAAACAGTAACTTTTGCTATATATTCTCAATGTAAGCTTACCGTGTTTAGGAACTGTTCTTCGATATACGGGATAATTAGATATAAACGGGTTCGATATAATCGTGCTCGACTGTACTAACTTCGTCTCGGGAAGCTTGTAATCCTTGATGGTGTGTTCATCAGGGCCAGGAACAGCACTGCTAATACTGAAAATAGCTCATGGGCTGCCAGCTTGTAAATTGTTCCGTCCTGGTGCATGCGCCTTTATGTTTGTCCACCCGTGCCGACAACAACTCAACATTTTAAAACTAAATTTCAAAGCTTTTATGTGGCAATACCTTGAAACGATTATAATGTACGCCATAGTGGAGGCCGTTCAATTATATTTGACCTCCTGAAGTACACCGTAATGCACATACAACGGCTGTTTTTTGCATTTTGATATTTGTCGAAACATGGCTGTTGTGACCTGGAATTCGCCATCATGCGTACTGGCGCAACCCCTTGTTGCAGAGTCATGATGGCAGGTACTAGAGTATGGAGATACGCAACCAAGGCAACGAAGACAGAATGGGTGTGGAGGAATAAATTTATGTAGACATATATATATATATATATATATATATACATATGTAATTATATACACTGAAGAAAAAATTTGTCTCGACAGTTTTTTACAATTTTCGGGGTCAGCGAGCATCCCCCTTCCATCTTCGACATAGGCGGTTGTTCGCCAAAATAGCAGTATTTCACCACAAGCACGCAAACAAGTCCAGCGGCGTGACGTCGTGGCATGTGTGCGTCTGACACCGGAGCGCTTATAGTAGTCTTTCGTGAAACAGCAAAGAAAATTTTTCCATCGCAACATCCGAACACATTCCCGCATCAATAGTGGTCTCTGGTTGTCTTGTTGAACCAGGTGGACCCTGAAAGGCAAGGGTGAAAGTAGGTGTCAAGGGATGTCTGCTCATTTTTTTTCAACAACAATGAAACTTTTTAAAAGACGTCTATATATCTAATTGGTGTATATAAGTAAATTACACTTTTGGAAAACAGCACTCTTGCATCTATGACTCGATTTTCTTGTGCTAAATGGAGGTCCTAGACCTTTAAACTCTAAGGCTCGTGTACGGCCAGTTTTGGTTTCGTTTTCGCAAAGATAACCGCTTTGTAGTGACACAACTCAGAAGGCAGTCCTGTGGGAGCATAATGATAATACTCTTGTGCGCATGAGCAGGCACACCTCTGTCTGCTACACTGCTATTTCGAGGCTGCAATGCTTGAGCCAATTAGGAGAATGGCACGGGAGATGGGACGAAGCAGAGAAAATGTAAATCGCGGCACTAACAACTATGTGCTTGATTATGCATGCTTTTACATGGTATTTCTTGCACATTGTGCAGTTTCTATTTTTGCCCCCCCCCCCCTCTCATTATGTTAGTAATGACTTGGCTGTTAATCAGCTTTGTGGTCTGTCTCCTCTCTCCTTTGTCATGCTTTCGTGCAGTTTCCCCAGCAGGTATAAACTAAACAGCCCAAATATGTACCCTTTTACTGAAGTCAGTGTTGAATTGTCACAACGACTCGCTTCCACATGACAACAGCAACAGCCACCTGAAGATGGCAACCTCATGGCAAACCAAATACCAATTGCTCACAAAAAGGCTCAACTAATTTAGAGTGTTTCGACGTCTTACAAATTTTTTTCTGGAAGGTTCATTTTTATTCATTCATCCACTGTTTATTTAGACAAAAACAAAGATTTGCCTAGGTTGAAAGGACTAAAGGCAGATTACCTCTGCCTGACTAAGGTCCCTCAACGCATACATTTGCTCAGCTGAAGTTGAACAAATATAGAAATTTCATTCTTATTTTGAATGAGGGGACACAAAAATCAAATTAAAGAAATATAACACATGTCCAAACATACATTATAAAGTAACACATTGCATTCACCACCAATTTGCGGTAGCAAGATAAAGAATATAAAAATGAAACCATGAGATTTTAGACAGCATTACTAAGTACTATACAAAAATACATTAAAAAAGAAAATGAGCAACTTTCATCAAATATAGGAAAGTACGAAAAACACATAAGAAATATCTATAGATAATACAATTATGGCTCATTACAAGTAAAGAAGTAAATCTTGACTTTTTTTCTTCACACTGTTTTTAGTATTACATTCTTCCAAAACTTCATGGACATTTTTGTGGAGTGGATAAGGTATTTGATATGATAATGTTTGCTTACCGTAAGTTGTTCTGAATATAAGCAATCAAAAATGATCAAAACGTAGATAATACGGAGTATCGCTTTAGTAGCAATGCTCTATATAACTGCCAACGGTGTTTCCCATTTCATTAATGACATATAAATTGAGTTTAAGATTGTATAATTGATAGACAGTAAGTATCTGAAGCTTGCCCAAAAATGGAGGAATATGTTCCCTAGGTTGCAGATTTTCTATGTAGCGTGCAGACCTTTTTTGTGAAACTAACAGCCTGTCTAGATTGGTTTTTGAAGTTGTGCCCCAAATTAAAAGACAGTAATGTAGATGGGAATGAACTAAAGAATAATATAACTGGAGCTTTAACCAGTTTGGAACTAGGAACCTAAGTTTGCTTTAAACAGAAATCGATCGAGACATATTGGCGTGTACTATATTTATTTGAGGTGTCCAACTCAGGTGCTCATTGAAAAGTACACCTAAAAATTTTAAAAAGGGATTCGTTGGATTTCATTATTTTTAAACCAGAGAGAAATCTTGTAGCATACATCTTCAAACTTGTTTTTGTTCTTAAGTAAAAAAAATATAGATTTACCAACATTCAATTGTATTTGGTTCGAATCTAGCCAGTAAGAGAGACTAGCCATTCATTCGCTTTCTTCTCTAGACCTTTTAGACAGCTCCCAGAGAAGAACAAGCTTGTGTCATCTGCGTACATAACTGTAGAGGGTTCCAAGGTCATTGCCCTTTCTCATGAAAAATAATGCCTAGTTGGTAATACTGTGTCAATGCTCATTTAAACTCGGTGCAAGTCCTCTTTTAAACTAACTTGAACAGATATACTGCAACTGCCAGCACACATACCAGGCAGGACCTGTTTTATGCTTGTTCCGTTGCCTCTGTGACCGTTATGGTACAGGAGATGTCCCCCGTTGATGGCAGGGTTGACTCCAAAGACTGCACTAGCGTTTCTGTTGTTGAGCTGACAATGACTGGTTGCAGGGGTGGGGGCAGACATGCCTCCATCGAGTCGGGAGACATGGGGTCACCAGAGGCCAGCAGGACTCGTTGAACATCCTGTTTACAAGAGGGGGAAAAACGATGGTCACACGTGAGCCTATCTCCTATGGGCATAGGTCGGCAAACTCGCTCAGGAGTCGACTCACTCGGATCAAGCCGTGAGTCAGAGTGAGTCCAAGTGGAAAGTATTTTGGTGAGCTTGAGTCCTAAGCGCAAGATATATTTTGAGTGAGTCTGAGGTGAGTTGGTTGATAAACTGTCTTAACGTGAACAGTCAATGTCAAAGAGAATGTTAAAAGCGAATACCATGGAGCCAGACATCAGTAAAGTTTCAGCTCAAAACCAGTAAATATTCGAGTCGAAATGCAGCTGCTACAGCTGTGACCCAGTCATTGAGCAGAATGTCGTAGCCGCTGGCTTAATGTAGTGTTGTTTGAAAGGAAAACGATTTGTCAGTTTTTGACATTTCAAAGTTCATCAGAGATGCAAATAAATTGTTCCATATCAACCTAACTATCCCACAGCATGCTTTAGGCAAAGTCTGAAACACAGATGGTGTCGGCAGTTGTTTAAAGGCTTCGCTGCCTTGAAGCTAATGGTAGCAGAAAAGACGTAACGGCTACAGGCAACATGGTGCCTCATGGGAAAAAAAAAAAAGTTCCGTGAGCACAACTAGAACGGTCGAGTGCTCATGTTGTGCACAACCCTTATTGAGACTTCTTTAACAGAAAACAAGACCAGCACATACCTCGAGGGGCGCAACGGCGGATGACGAATCGATTGATGCGTCTGGAGCCACCGGTGCCGGAGGGGGTGTGTCCAACTGTAGCAGCAGGCTGTCGCCGTCGTCCAACTCTCGGAGGACGACGTCGCGAAGGAATGCAGGCACAAACCGCACGTCGAGGTCGGCGGGCACCTTGTATGAACAGGGAGCCAAGGGTGCTTGCGTGAGGGCCTGTTCTACCTCACGAGACACTGTCTCCTGCACGGTACCGTCGCGGTACACACTTTAATATGCGCAGCGCAAATATAAATAGCATGCACGCTGGTGAATCTGCTCATATCATTTCGAAGTAGCAGCGCTTTGTACATTGTTGCGCAGAAAATTACTCACTGACTATACCAAAATATGAGTGCAGCATAACCACACACGCAGCAGTTGATCTACAGGGGATCAACTGCTACCATAGTGCTTCATAAAGAAAGCAACAGAATACCAATCAAGAAGGGTGCAAGGCAGGGGGACACAATTTCCCCAATGTTATTTACCGTGTGCTTACACGAGGTTTTCAGAAGCCTAGAATGGGAGCAGTTAGGGATAAGAGTCAATGGAGAATACCTTAGTAACCTGCGCTTCGCCGATGACATTGCATTGCTGAGTAACTCGGGGGGACGAATTGCAACTCATGATTACGGAGTTAGACAAGGAGAGCAGAAAGGTGGGTCTTAAAATTAATCTGCAGAAAACGAAAGTAATGTACAACAACCTCGGCAAGGAGCAGCGCTTCGAGATAGGTAATAGTGCACTTGAAGTTGTAAAAGACTATGTCTACTTAGGGCAGGTAATAACCGCAGAGCCGAACCACGAGATTGAAGTAACTAGAAGAATAAGAATGGGGTGGAGCACATTCGGCAAGCACTCTCAAATTATGACAGGTAGATTGCCACTATCCCTCAAGAGGAAGGTATATAACAGCTGTATCTTGCCGGTACTTAGCTATGGAGCAGAAACCTGGAGACTTACAAAGAGGGTTCAGCTTAAATTGAGGACGACGCAGCGAGCAATGGAAAGAAAAATGGTAGGTGTAACCTTAAGAGACAAGAAGAGAGCAGAATGGATTAGGGAACAAACGGGGGTTAAGGATATCATAGCTGAAATCAAGATGAAGAAATGGACATGGGCAGGGCATGTAGCGCATAGACAGGATAACCGCTGGTCATTAAGGGTAACTGACTGGATTCCCAGAGAAGGGAAGCGGGTTAGGGGGAGACAGAAGGTTAGGTGGGCAGATGAGATTAAGAAGTTTGCGGGTATAAATTGGCAGCAGCAAGCACAGGACCGGGTTAACTGGCGGAACATGGGAGAGGCCTTTGTCCTGCAGTGGACGTAGTCAGGCTGATGATGATGATGATGAACCACACACGTGAAACACTTGCCCAAGTTAACCTGTTCTGGGGGGACGTGCACATCTTCGACAACTTAACACAATAAAAATGTCTTTACACATTGCCTTCTGGTACGTCAGCTGATACTTTACAGGTACACATTACAGGAAAAAGCAAAGCTGAGTGCAAGGCATGGTACAACAGTAAATATACAGTGGATCAAAATATGCCTTCACAACATTCTTGCCACTAGACTCCTCAATTCTTCTCGTTTGGTTAATAAGGCCCATACAGCCAGTAGGCATCTAGCAGTGTCACAAACGGGCCCCAGAGTGAAGGGTCCAATTGTAGACCCCTCTGAATGGCAACCAAGTAGCACTCACCCGAAACTCGTTTATGCGGCCGCGGAGCAACTTGGTGCCTTCGGCAAGAAGCTCCTGCCGTTGCCGCATGTCAGAGAGCAGCGCCAGATTGGAGTACATGAGGCGCAGGCCCTCGCTGGCCCCCTGGTCGTAGCCACCTGGGGGAACAGCCTCGCCGGTCACGTAGCGCTCAAACTCTTCTGCGGGCAGGTTCAAGGATTCGGCCGTCAGGTTCTCGATGAAGGACACCGCACAGCACTGGCCAGGGTAGAACGAGGAATGAACACAACAAAGAGTTCAACGATGGAACACCACAGACAGGCTGACAATACTCTTAGCTGTGCGATAGCACAAAGGTGTTTTACACAGCACGCCTTTCAGCGTTGGCTGAAATTTCTTGCCGAAGAAGATAGGGCACAACAAAGCACAAACTGCAGCACTGGTGTTTAATTACCCAGATGTGGCTTGTTAGACAACAGGGGGATGATCAATGGCAATGTATCAATGTGTGGGATCAAAGCAAACTTGGGATAAGTCATTCTGCGTACATGCTGCAAACACTACAGCAAGGCTTGTGCACCATAAATGTTTTAGCAGCCAATTCCTTCTTAAAGGGCCATTCACCAGGTTTGACAATTTTGAGCTGACAAGCGCAATGCGTAGATGAGGCGTTCATGATCACGTCTGCTAAAATTTGCAACGCTACACGCCGCGGAAATGGGTCAAATTTCAAGATGAAAGCTGCTCCCCTCCCCTCTGCCGGCGCACGCGTAGAGAATGAGGGCATAACGTAGGCGTAGGAATGGCCCTACGTACATGGCAATGCAATGACGTTGGTCCTCTACGTAGACGACTCTGCTCTGACGTTGTCAACAGTATACCACGTGACATGGCTAAAATTATTTAACACAACATGAGTAGTTTATGTATTTGTTGCTTTAAGAGATTAATAAAACTTGAAATAAATAATGAGACGCAATAAAAAATTGTGCACGTTTTTCCCGTGAAATGCTACGAGATGCAGGGCTAATGTGCCAGTGTTTCGCTTACGTTCGGGTGCCCGCGGTCAGCGCATTGAGCAGACAACCGCAGTGGAACGCTCCTACGCATTCGCACACTTATTGTGCTGATCTATTTTACTGCGTCTAAGATAGCGTTTCCAAACAATCCCGCAGACAAGGCAGAAGACCACAAAATAACCCTGGTCAACAAAGCAACGCTGCTCGCGTGCACGGGAGCTGGGCTTGTTAGGGCGCGTCATGCGCACGTCACCTCTTGGTCGGATGCCGGAGAGGGTAGGGAAGAGATTTGGCTTGCGAAGGCTGCGCGGAGAAGCGGCAAAGGTTTCGAGCTCGCCTTCTCTCACCCTCCTTTCGTACCGCTTCAAGAAACCCGTTTTCTTCACTCGTCGTGAACCGATTCGAAAAATTTTTGTGGCAAAACGTTTCTCATCGGACACCCAACAACTTCCACTGTCTAACTAAAATTCGGTATGTGGCCTGGTGAGTGGCCCTTAAAGGCAGCCTAGCTTGCCTTGCTGGGAATCCGAGTTGAAAACCTTTACTGTTAAATGCCACACGAATAAGTGGAAGTATGACTAACAATCTTAATCCCTCTCTTTACTATTTAGTAAATACCACATAGCACAGAGTAAACATCTTTGAGAGCATAAATGTCCTTAAAATGCTTGGCTAATGTCATATTCATTTTCACAACTTTTGCAATATCTATGATTATATTAACTGGTTATTCTATACTGGGACCAGCCATGATGGCTTAGTGGTGAAGGTGGAGCGCTGTTTGAGCCTGTAGGCTGGCGCTGTTTGAACCTGGTGACAGCGCCAAGAAAAAGCTCCCATGCACTCAAATCAAGGCGCTACAGCTTAAAATCTGTTGGCTCAGTAATTACAGGCATTATGCACCTTAATATATATATAGCAACCACAGACAATCCATAGCAAACTGCGGAGAGACACCGCAAAGCACTGCTACGATACTCACCAGGTTGGTGAAGTAGTAGCCAGCCTCCCCACTGAGTAGCCGGCTGGGGGCACTGAACCGGGTCACATACTTGATGTTGGAGTGAAGCAGGGGAGGGTTGGCACGCAACACAACGTACACCATTGCCGGCAGGAACTCATCAGCCGAAGCCGGCTGTGGGCCCTGGGGTCCCATTTGCAATGCCTCGAACAGCTGCTGACTGCAACGCACAACACAGGCCAACTTCTCACGGGGGCTGTGGCGCGAGTCCAGCTCAATTATGTGTGTAATGGCACGGTCAATCACATCACGCACAGGCGTCTGCCGATCGTCCAACTCAAGCTCAAGATGCCGTGCCGCCACCCAGCTCAAAGACCGGATGCGGCGTTGGATTGCCAAATCTTTCTCCTCGTCGGCCGTGGAGATGAACTCGAAGATGGACTTGTACGTTAGACTCATCAGGTAGTTCTCCATCAAGTCCATGAGACGCTCCACCTGGTCGGGCTCCAGACCTACATGAGAGTTTTTCCAAGTGAGCAGACTCTACAAGGAAGCAGCAATCTCTTCTCTGCCATCTTACAACGTATTACACTACACACAGTTCATAGCATTACCTAGCCTGGTCTCTTTTTTACTCCATAGCACTCTATATGTATCGATCCCTAAACTACCATCTTGTTGATAGCAGTACAAAATAAGTGAGGTGACAGAGAAGGCATACCTTGATAGTGGGCGTGTGTCTCAAAGCGCTCGTGCATCTTCTGATAGAAGTCCTGCACCTGGTTTGAGAGATCATCGATTGACTGGTCCCGGGACGTTTTGTGGATGCGATCCACAGCTGCCCTGACCTGAAAACAAGTAATTGAACTGAGGTCAAGTACAGCACAACGAAGCGTGCAAACAAGTTGAAAGTAACCAGAAAACCCAAGCATGGGGTTTCATGCATGTAATGCAGGCATCTTTCTGGCGCTCTATATAAAGGTGTATATCATTAGAAATCAGACACAAGTTTGCTTTATCGCAAGCTAAGCGAGCAGCGGGACTCGCCTGCTTGATAAGATCGCAAGCTGCCGACTCCTTCAGGTCGCGGAGGAAGTCCTTGAGCTCCTTGGCGGCAGGATTGCTCTCCAAACTGCTCAGCTGAAAGTCCTTAGAGCTCACAGACTCTGCAACAAACAAGAGGCAAGACAAACAGCTTAGCTGACTTTTCTAGGCATCCCAATGCCTACATTCTCTCTTCCAACATTATGATGTGTTTCACCATTAATGAGACACACAGCTCTGAAACTTTGTTGTGTGCTTTATATATGCACATTAAGTGCACCTCTTCAGATATTTCACACAGATGCTGCGATTGAGGTCAGATACCTCATTGAATAAAATTTCCACATCGTTGTATAATCACTTTTTTCACCTCAGGAGCACCAATTTTGATGATAGCTAACTACATTTTTTCAGAGACAAAAAGCGCCGGCTGGTTTAATCTCTATTGTACCAATTATGACACATTATATTGAAAGCAAAAATGAGCAAGAATATACAAAAGAAGCTCTAAATGACCCTACATTTGTAGCCTGCCATATACAGTTCCTAGGAACTATAGTGAATGCCTTAAAAATTAAAAAAAAGTCTGCTCTTTTTTCTTTTTTACAATGAAAACATCGCAGTACTTGTGAAACAAAAAGAGGGAGACCTCAAGCACACTGCCAGTACGTGACATAGCATAAAACAATATCTGGACAATTTCTTCAGATGGCGACTCTATGTTCCTGTCCCGTTTCACTGTCGCACATGCCAGTGCTCTTTGATGAAACAATAATTGCACTTACACAATTCATAGATGTTATGCTTAAGGTCGTAATTACTAGAGGGCGAAATGCAACAAAGGTGAAGGCATTGAATGAGCTACTTAACATCAGAGAAATTTTAGAAACCAGGTGCAATAAAAGTGACCTTTAGTTGGTGTTGCATTACTAAGATTTTTCAAAGCATCGGAGCAAGAACAGGAACAAACATTCACAGTAGTAAACAGAACTACCAACCCAAGCTTCCTTTCTATGAGTGGGGTTATCAAAGTGCATTTCAAACGAGGGAAACAAGACAAAATGATAAAAAAAATCCAATGTGTGAAAGTATTCTGCAACAGGAACTCGCACCTCTTACATGACAAGGGCAAAAGGCCACACTGATTTGCTTGTCACAGCATCTGTACATTACCTGCTCTCGAACTATTTCTCCGGTATCGTTTACTTTTTGACACTACAATGTGTGCTGCGAGTGTCCATATCCGCTGTCCGTGTTATGATATGCTGTCACACTTTCATAACCAAGTGCAATGCAGAAGCCAACACCTCACGTGGAGAGACATTCCGTAATGTGAGGCAACACACGTTGATACAGGCATGCAAAGCAATGCTTGAAGCAAAGGTAGCCTTGTGGGCTGGAAACTAAAGCTGCGATTCTCTGTACCATTTGAAAGCAGACATACTGTGGACACGGAGGATCCGCAGCATGGTCTTGCAATGCGTTCCAGTTTAAGTGCGACAGATGCAACTTCAATGTGAGCCTTCTTTCAAGGGTAAAGCTGCAGATTTGTTGTTGTCAATGCTATCTTTTTTCCAGACATTACTTCCCAAAACTGCATCCTTGTGCAGAGCTGGTTTCTTTAGTACCGTGAAGATAATGGTATGTTGCACAAGACTCTTGTTGGTAAAAGTGAAAGTAATGCAGAATATGACGCTCTGCTTCTAGAAACAGGATGCGACTGCATGAAAGTTTGATGTAATGTAAAGCTGATGGCACAATAGAATGCAGAGGTGGATGATAAATGGCTTTATTTTAATGAAACAAGGCAAACAGAGCAACAGGAATGCCGGCACAATAAAGAGGTAATGTGATAAAGAGGCGCAACAATGCAAACAGAGGTGTCACAGGGGTGTCACGTCATATTCGCTATGCTGGCTGCTGCCAGCAAGGGAAACTGCCCAGTGATCAGTAGTCTATTTGAGACCATATACACAAGAAAAAGCTGCTCAATCAAAGAGAGAAGTTCATGAAGAACTACAGAAGCAAGCCGTGGAAAGCGTCATGTCTGCCTTTTTTTGGGCTACATACAACCAGACTCCGCAGAAAGCGCAAATGGGTTAGTGCTACACAGTGTCAAGCAGTGATTCAAGCTTCTTTAGTTGTGCCCACATATGACCTCCAACATCATTTGAAAGAAATAAAGTATTCAATCGGCTCGAGCTACCTTTAACAGTGTTGGACCTGCGGATGATGCTACGTAGCGTTTTGGTCCGTTTCTCGGCTTGCTGTCGCTTCTTCTCGGCAAATCGCGAGAACGGCGACGGTTCGATCAGGCCAGGCTGCGATGCACTGGGGTAGCCTTCTGGAGACTCACTGGCACTGCGGGACAGCCTGCAACCAAACGGAAAGAAAACCACTTTGAATTAAGGCCTCACTCTCAATCTGGCGTACGCATGTGTACACTGATTCGTACTTGCCCTACACCGATTTCGTGAGTGTCCCATAAGTACCAGAGACACTACTTGATTGATTGATTCATATGTGAGGTTTAATGTCCCAAAACCACCATATGATTATGGGAGACGCCGCAGTGGAGGGCTCCGGAAATTTCAACTACCTGGGGTTCTTAATGTGTGCACCCAAATCTAAGCACACAGACCTACAGCATTCTCGCTTCTATCAAGAATGCAGAGGCGGCAGCCGGGATTCGATCCCGCGAACTGCGGGTTAGCAGCCGGGTACCTTAGCCACTAGGCCAACCAGAGACACTGCTACAACACACCCTACAAAACCATTGCTGAATGACATCCACATACTTTGCCTTTAATGAAAACCAGTAGGTAATGAAGCCAAGGAAGGTGTAAGGAACATTAATTTTACTACTTTAAGTGTATTGTAATAATTGTGATACAGATGTGAAGAAAGTAGAGTGAATGACAAGACAATTTTCTGCTGGAAGGGACCGCACCTTAAAATGGATACAATTAACAGTTCTCTATACCTTCTTTGGTTTCGTTATCTGCTGGCTTCTGTTAATGTTATATCAAACAAAGAAACGAGCCATTGAAACACTTTTTCCTTCATTAATGTACCTAAGATGCCAATATAGGCTTTTACTTTGCCTAAAGTCTTTTACGCCCAACAATGCTGCCTCTGCAGCTTTTTTTTCTGGAAGGTGTTCCACTTCATCACTGGGGTGTGAAACACTGCTGTTACATCCCACTCCAAATTGTGATTTGGGACAACTTCAGAGCCATCAGCCTCGATTGTTTTCTGAATTCTCCACACATACACGATGGATGGATGGATAAACTTTATTTGATCCTTTGAAACATGCCAGACTTTTACTTCGTGCTCTCCAATCAGGTTAAGAATTTCAGAATAGGTTGTGCACTAGCACAATAACTAAATGCACACGTAATACCCCACACCAATAAAAATTTGTAACGATATATACATCTTTGAAAGGGTGGTGAAAAGTGCAGCAGGCACTTGCAATATACATCATAGGTCATAGCGAGAATCCTCGGGCTGCACAATCATCCGTGCTTTTGTAAGCGCGTTCAAAACTTGTCACTCCTCACAAGTGGTGGCCGGCACAAAGTATACAGCAGGAAAGCGGACTCCACAGGTTCTACACCACTGTTTGTCAGCACACAAGTGCTCAAATAGATCTAATAATAACTGAGAACAAAGCCATAACTGGGAGTTATATGGCGAGATAGTCACTACCAAACGAAGCGGCTTCCTCACAGCATGAACGGCTTGTCACCCCCTTTCCTACACATAAAGCAAATATAGTTAACATGGATCACTTTTCTGAAGAGCATTCAGATGTCGTGTCTTAAGCAAACTTTAAGTGATGAGTGAGCGGAAGGTACCTAGCATCACAGAAATGTCGCTAACTCGCACAACAGGAAGGAGATTCATCATTAGCATAAGTGCCAAATGACACTATATACATCCACGATACCTTGTACCATGCAGCCGTTTTCACATTACACTCCATGAGCCCATGCTGCGCAGGACGCGCAGGCACAAATGCCTGATTTAACCAGAAAATCAGCAGCACACTTAAAAAAAAAAGAAATGGTGCACAAATGAAGAGAACAAATTTTTACTGAGAGAACAAAAGTGCCGCACAGGTCTGTTTATTAGTGACTCAAACTATAGCTTTGTTTGGCTTAGCAAAATACTAGTTGCCGCTTTTATCTTCATGCCTGAAAATTTGCTTCCGCGTCGTTCATAGCATGAGTCTAAGAATTTTCATCACGGTGCACTGTACTTCGTTTTGCGTACATGCTCTTAAGAGAACTTGGATTGCAAGAATGGTACCTCAACCTTTTTTTTTTTCTTCCTTTCACCCCTAACTTCCGTTTCTCCAATCTGGCTGGCAAATTACAAGCTTCTGCCAGAAGTCTTTAGATATGCATAAACTACGAAACAAAACGAAATTGATGTATGTTGAGGGAGCCAAATGAAAACGCAGCTTGCCGCAAGGGAAGTAATTTAATTGTATTACAAGTGCTACACAGGTACACACAGAAATGCATATCAAAACTCTACTACCATTCGGGATGAATGTTACAATACCACCACCTTTTACAGGCACATTCATACAATGCATGCCAGATAAACCATGAACCTCCTGAAAATAATGTGTGCTAGGATTATTGTTGGCAATCCAGAACACCTTCACATGAACTCAGCCACAGATCCATCATCACAATCTTCGCTGCGTTGGTGGCTATGCATTATCTCCCAATATTTAGAGCACATGAATGTAAATAACCAGATTTAAAGATAAGCCAATGAATTTTTTTTTTCAGTCACACAGCCGAATTTTTTCCCACACAAGCTGTGTCACATTCAGGTTTATTTAATTGCAGTCAATCATTCCATGGTATACTGAGCTCTAAAAATGTCTTACACGTGTCTAGTATCTGTAATGCTAATGCTGACTTCAAGTATTTCTTCTGATGGCTTCCATTGGCATGTGAGGTTCGAGCATTATAACCTCAACAGGCATCAATGTAATTGTAGCAATTGAAGAATGTATTCTCAAGCACAAAAGAACATAAATATATGATGCAAACTGAATTAATGAGGTCAGCTCATTCGTGCGAAGAGGCACATACACACAAGGAGAGAAAAATCATAGGACAGTTTGTTTTCAACAAAACTCACACGCAGAACGATGAGATACATAAAGCCGCAACTTGGTCGGAATGAGTCAGGAGCTCTAAAATATATTTACTAAACAAAACAGGCACAAATGTCCGAAAATGCGTGTCCCCTACGTTGCAGAAAAGATTAAGAAAAGAAAAACCTCCTTCTGTTAAAAAATAGGGTATTCAACAACATCACAAGACTGCATTAAAAAAAATAAGGCATTCGATAACATCACAAGACTGCATAAACTGCTTTCCTTCCCTTTCCAAAGGGACAGCACAATAGACCTATGAAAATAACGAAAGACCAACACTTTAATTGTCTGAAATGACAAGTGCTGAATCTGTAGTGCTGCGAATGTGCACACAGGTATATTAGCTTTCAGCCAATGCATCTGCAAACTGGCGAGAACATAAAGACTGGACGAGGTATCCCGTGAAGCTATTACTGGAACAGACAAAGAGTTGCAAAAACAACTATTGGTTAAGTATATATTTCCCTTTACTATGTATATGCTGAGTGTTTGTGAACTCACAATGCAGACAAAACAGCCGAATAATCAAATGCATGAGAAGTGCTGGAATCAAGCGCATTTTACAGAGTATGGCAAATGGAAAACTATAGTTAGACAGTCTGGTTTATGCACTAAACAAATCAATGCAGGCTAAATTAATCTGTAGGCTTACAGTACAGCATCAATCAGAAGTCCTGTGTACAAATGCCCCAAAAGCAGAACAGAGCACATGAGCTGGGGCCAAACTATGCAAAATTGCATGCCAGTGCACACTATCGGAAAAGCGAGAATGGGCCAGAAGATTGTGCCATTATTTCCATGTATAAATTAGGAACCACTTTTCCGATAGAGCTCGCAGGCACGCTGCTATTCTTAGTTCGGCCACAGCTCACATGCTCTGTCTTATTTTCGGGGCACCTGTGCAGCTTTGGATTTTCATCATGTGGCTGTTGGGTGAATGAATGCAAAAATTATTTTTGCAAGGTCTATAAAAGGCCAAGGAATCACTGGTTCAGCAGAGCCATTGGTAAGCAAAGAAAGTTGGCTGCACCACCATCTATGAACAATATTGTAGACAAAGACCGCATAGCAAATCTTTTGGTGTTGCTTGGAGAAGCGTAGACAAGCGCAATAATTTACCAACTGTTTCAGCAGTACTATGATGACACTGGATGTATAGAAGCTAAGCAATTTCATTTGTCTCCAAAGTGCGAGCACAGAAAAGCACTCACCAAGAAGGCAGCGAGTAGCCTCCCCGATCGTCCGCCTTTTCTTCTACTATCCCAACCGACGCCAGCTTGGCATCACAGTCAATTACAACAAGAGAGACGAGACTCCTCAAAGCGCCACGCATCGAACAACTTGAACGACGACAGCACAGCCTCGCCCACTCGTGTCTCTCATCAGCCTGTCGGCATGCCTCTCTGCAGCGGCCGTATAAATCCTCCGCACCAATGCCGGAAGCTGCAACGACGTAGGCTGTGCGACGCTGGCTTTTCTACACTAAAACTGCACAGATTCTCCCGCTGTCGCGGCAGAGCCCGCCGATTCTAGGAGACCGACCCCCCCAACTGGGCTCGAAAGCGTTTACGCACGGAAAGCAACAGCTGTGACGTGGGGGAGAGAGATGAGACAGTGGGGGAGAGAAAACAAAGAATGCAAACAGAAAGGGAAGAGAGGAGCAGCTGTAACATGCTGTTGCTAGGACGACCCTGCTCACAGCTGTTGTGTCACTGAAACGGCAGCTGTTACACACCTCTCGTTCGGAGCCTCCTCAAAATGCTCTAAGAGTGCATGCTCCGTGCGAAGGAATGAAGCCAAGCAGGCAATGTGGGTAGCACTCACTTTCACGCGGACTCGAGAACCAGCATGTTGGGCGAAAACGTGTGAAGGCAAAGATCAGAACGGCATGAAAATGTCGAAGGAGTTGCACAGATTGCAAGCCCACAGATTGGAGCATAACACTTGTGCCAAATGTCAGAAGGTGATGAAGGGTCTACCCCAAGTTTAGCAGCAACTGCGTTCTTATATCACTCTCTTCCAAGCAATTCAAATAATGACATTTCATTCGATATCAACATTCACGAATTAAAATATACAAAAATAAGACGAAGATATCAAAAGGGAAAAAAATAAATAAAAGTTACACAATGCACAATGACTTAAGGGAGCTCTAGCTCTTGAGTATGCGTCTTATCCACCTGAC